CAAGCACCAAGGTTACCTGTACCACTCCTGCCTTTGATGCCAAATTGTGAATGCTCCAGTTTCAAAGAGCGAGGGCAGAGTCTCTTCCACCCTGCAGATAGCAGGCTCTGTGGGGGTCCAAGTCCAATTCACATCAGAGTGAACATCACTTACCTCCCACTAACTTGACTTGTGCTGCCCAAGACCTAAATAGAACAGACAGTCAGCTAGATTGTTAAACCTAAAGGAGAGGTAGACACTGGGAAGGCTGATACGATGTGCATCACCTCTGAACTGTGAAGCCTGTGCAAAGATGATGAGAAGCCATTACAGGCCACAGCAGGACTGTGCCTCACAGATGCACACGTAGCCCAGCCTTGTTTTCCCCTTAGCACATGATGACAGAGCAGGCAGAAAAACTGCAGAGTCCCTCTCTACCCAGCTAACTGAGAACTAGACCGTAACAGCTTCCGCAAACAAATTAACTTACGCCAACAGAGACAAAATGGAAGTTCCAGTCTCCCAGCACACTCTCTCTGAGTCATGCACTGACAAACTCCTCTCTTTCACCCAGACTTGCTCCTTCTCAACAGCCTCCTCCCTTCTCCCGGGCTCAGTACTCAATAGCTTGCAGCAGCCAGACCGTGTTTCTGGCCATCAGCCTCACACCCACGGCACCAGCGGCTGCCTCGGGCTCTGACAGAGCTTCTCTGTGCTAGCAGCCCACCACAGCCAGCCAGCCCTGCGACTCCTTGCTTGCCCCCAGTGCTGTCAGCACTCAACATGTACTTGCTCAGCTTCTGAGCTGCTGCTTTGCTCACTCAGACACAATTTCCCCTTTTCAAAGATACAAGACTTTACTTATATTCCATAGGACATTTGAAAGGGACAAGGGGCTTACAGCTGGTAGCACAAATGAAGAGCCACCAGGCTGGGAAGAGAAAAAGCATTGGTTTGGAGTAGCAGGGGGAGGATAGTGGGCCCATTATGTTCTTCTTACCAAGTCAAGGAGCAAGGGTTACCCCAGGGATAGCCTTAGGCATACGGGCAGGAGCAGAGACAAGGGAAGGGGCATCAAGGGCCATGTGGAAAGGAACATGGGCAGAGACAGGGACAGTTGGCCACTGTGGGACTCAGCTTTGCCAGACAAACGGGCTGATGAGAGGTACAAGACAGAAGGAAGCAACGAAGACCTTCTAGTTGGTCCTGCTGCTTCATCTCCTGTCAGTAAGTCACTGCTGGTGGTAATACCGAGTATATCTGGTCTTACCTTCCGAAGTCCATCCATTCACAGCTAATCTCCACCTGTTCCTAAGCGTTTCCACAGTGGTAAAGAACACAGCTGTATCCCAACCTTCCGACACCTTGATATGTCTAGACTCTGTCATTGTTTTCAGCTGTGAAAAGGGGATTGCTTCTCTGTTCTAGGAAATAGTTTCTACAAGAGAATGCTAAAGGTATGGCCTACATGGTGTATTCCCATCTCACCTTCTGGTACTGCTCTAACAACTGAATCTTGCTTCGGAATTTTTTAGGGATAATACTAATGGGAAATCCACTGAAATCCATTCTGTGTTCTTCAGACATTTATTTAAATGGGCATTTCAAAACTCTGAGCTTCTATTTGAAAAAAAAATTCTGGTTACATAGGAAAACTTTGTTCCCAGACACGTTTGTAAGAGTGCAGAATTGTCTGTAGGCAGCCAACAGAGCTATTGATCAACATGTCGATAGAAAACATCACTATCAGTTTATGTCAAAGGGTAGATGATGAAGAATGATCATTAGGTTTGCTAACCCAAACATGTATGATTAGATACAGGGCTCTTAAAATTACCCTGAAGACTACAGGATTTTACTCGATTTTTACCCAAAATTTCAACACTTACTGTTCTAAGTCAGCAGTCATACTTCAGCTTAAGTCAGTTCAGAGCAGCACAAAAATTTACGAGGCACTGGAAAAGCAGCGTCTACAGAAACAGTAAAAAAAGACATCCCTGTCCATCCTTCATGGCTGAAACGCCCTATAGAAATCTTAAGGATGTGAAGGGCCCCGTCCTGCTGAAGCTGTCACCACTGCAGGGGTTCTGCCAGACCCTCCTTCAGTGCCAAGGGCTTCTGCAGCACAGCTCACCCTCGGGCTGCTCGGCGTTAACGGGGCACCACCGTGCCACGCTGTGCCTCAACGCCCAGAACCTTCACATGGAATCGCCCGCTGCGCTGAATGCGAAGTGAAGCCTTCCAGGGCTTGATCTCTTACCCTCTTAGATAAGCATTTAAAGCAATTGTTCAATTTTAGGTAAAAGCTCGGTGGTTCTGGTGACAATGAGGTTTAAATCAGGCTGATAGGACTGCTCCCTCCATGCTTCAGTGAGGGACACATGTAGAAGGAAGCAGCTCTCGACTGTTTTCATGCTGTTCCTAGCAGACAACATCAACTTCTGGAACTGAAAGTGACAGAGATTCTGCATTTGTATTTTGAAAAATTTGTCTCAAGAACAATTTCTACCCTTTAGGTTTGAAAAAGGTGAATGCCGCAGAGGTTTTTAATTATGAAATAGCTGTGAGGTGGTTTGAGGGACTTCCAGGCTACGTTAGGAATTTTTCAACCCCAGATTCCAAAACATGCAGATAAGCAGCATGATCTACATGGGGCTCACGTTGCACAAATACTTCTCCTGTGAAGGTAATACAAGCAGAAGGAGAAACATTCCTGGAAGCAGTCAGTGATTTGTCCACAGATAAAAACGAACTGAGATTATAACAGCAACACTACCGTTCCACTCTAAAAACTTCTGATACAGCAGCTTGTTTGAGCCGGGCAATGAAATAGTCCTGAAGGCCAAAAATGCAGTCAGTGGGAAAACGGGGATTGTTTTCTTTGAGCTGGTCTGTCCCCTGAATATCATCAAGCCACAGAACTGTGCAGGAGTGCACACTGACAGAAACAGACCTAAGATCAGAATTTGCTTTCCATAGTTTTGAAAAAACTGGGGCATTATCCAAACATTTTCCTGATCCAGAAAATCCAAACACTTTACCTTCTTTGCTGAGAGTTTTTCATCCCATTGTATACAGCCTAAGTTATAACATGTTGTTTCTAAGAAACATGTACTTGAATTCATAAATTTTCACGCAACCCTACAGAAAATGAAATTTTATATTTATTATAGAAAATTACCATAAGACCCAAACACAAAGACAGGTTGGAAAATAAACAATGAAATTATGAGCTGTTTAAATTAGCATTCAGTGCAAAGAGAGGTTTCTATCCAACTTTTGTGGATTATAATGGAGAAAAAAAACACAACAGTGACAAAATTCAGTAACTAGTTCTCCCAGTTCATACAGTTTCTTCAACAATTACTGTTAGGACTGAACACTGATCAGCTAATCTAGAGAGCCATCACTGATCAGTATATTCAAACAAAAAGGCAAGAAGTCCTGAGTTAGGTCCTGATCAAAAGAAAGCAAGCAAGGGAACAAAGCACTTAATTTTACTTGCTAGGACAAAGCACTTGAAAAATCAAAGCATTCCTTCTAATTCTTCAGTGATATGAAACTCTCTGCAAGGAAGTATCTAGCACTTCTCCGTCATTAGATGGACCCTATATAACCCTCTGCTATCTGCAGAATTGTAGACAACTTGAAAAGAAATTGTATTATCTTAGTTAGAACACGTAGATTTCCCGTATCGCAGGAATTTTCTTTATAATAAAAGCTTCCTTTTTAGGCTTAAAACGACCACTATTGTGCTCCCAAGAGAATCAGAACACTAAATTCACCCAACATGATTGAAGATCCATTGTGTTCCGAGGTTTCATTTTTTACTGGATGACAGTTTTCATGGTTTCCAGAGTGACTTTATATCCAGGGATAACTTGGAGGTTCATGAGAAGTTTTAAAAATTATGATTGATATCTGAATTACAAAACAGTTCCAAACCCACGTAGATTCTGTTACTGTTACCCGCTGCCAAAAAGAAAGACACACTTTGCAGAACGTTGAGGCTAGTCAGTTAAGCTCAGGCTTGGGTGCTCCGGAACTAACACTGCACCAGAAATCTCTGCTTCTAGGCCTTTCTCAACCGAACGGGGCAGACGCTGTTTTAAGGGGAACAAGCAGCAGATCTCCACTGCCCCTTGCTACCACAGCTGCAGCAGCAGGCTCCCTGCTACACAGGCTCTGCACCAGCCACGACCTCAGGAGTTGAAGCCTCTGTCTTAAACCGTCCCCTGGGCAATGAGGAGGCAGCTGCTGGGCAGATTATCAACGCTGCTGCCGGGCTCCGAGCGCCATTTCTGGGCTAGCTGCAGTCTCCACGTGATGTGCTTGCAGAAAGAATACCAAGGTAACCCAGTCTGGAAGCAGCAAGGAGGTGAGCTGCTGCAATAAAACCACCACTCCAAGTCAATTACCTCGCACAGTCAACAGCAGATGTTCTTTATCCTCAAGTACCTACACCAGCTGAGACTCCAGCTAAATCATTACCTTTCACCAGAAGGGAACTGACACTGTTTCAGTTTCTTTCCTTAACCAAGAAAACATAATTCTAGCACTCCTGACTACCTCTGACATACCATCCAGACAGTCCCTGACTCAAAATTTGATTACAGCCAGCCAGTGAATAAGCTACTATCTGATGAAATAGCCAAAACCCCAGAAAAACAGTTGAAGAAAAAAAAAAAAAAAAAAAAAAAAAAAGGGCTTTAAGGGCTTTTAAAGCAAGTGGTACAAATAATCTAACTAAGTAACTTAAAGTTTAATGATTTTAAGGAGTCTTTGCTTCCAAGACTCTTAATATTAAAAATAGAACGGATTCGGTTAAAAATACATTTTCCCAAATCTCTTCTAGGGTATTTGTCAGCAACTATTCTTGGGTGGCTATTTAAAGCTATTGCATGGAAAAAGTAAAACAAATAAAGAAATCCAGCTCCCTGAAAGCAAGCAAGATTCAATAACACATCTGGAAAAAGGATGCATAATAAAGAATATGAAGTACATAAAACTCAGCAGAGAAGTACATTAGCATGGTTCTTTTTATTCAAACATTTTGAGATCTGTTTTTTTATGTACATACATAGGTGTATATATATAATACTTGCCACTTTTGGCAGCTGCTGTTTAATGCCAGGATTCTATGCACAAAGTAAACAGGTATTTTTCATAATGAAATCTTGTTTAGTCTGATGAGGGGCATGGTATACCCAGGCAGATGCTTAGCTCACTAGAGCTGTTTCTGGTCTTTAGTGTTGGGTTTTCTTTCATGTTTTACTACTTTTAGTATTTTGTGGCTGTAAGTCATACAAAATTTGCTATAACTAACACCACAAGCTTCGTCAAAGGTTTTTGGGTTGGTCTATATTTTTAAAAAATTCTTCCCTTACTTTTCTTCTATTTTCTTCCGTCTTGTCACCTCAAGCCTCAAAAGCAGATTGAAACATCTTTGAATAGATCTCATTCAGACATGGTATGTTTCGCAACATATGAACCTTTTTAAAAAAAAAAATTACGCAAAGCGGGGTTATCCCCTTTGCCAATTTCCAGGCATTAACAGTCAATATCAAGCATTTCTATAGGAAAAGCATGCCATGATGAGTTCATAACAAATCAGCTAAAGAAATAAATGACAACTTTCTTGTTAGAGAAACCACAAATGAAGTAGAAACAAGCAACAAAAAAAAAAAAAAAAACAACTTCCTCACATATGACATACTTATGCAGAGGATCTATTTATTCCTGAGCAGGCTGGCAAGTATTCATTGGTGATCATGTGGGGGAGAGGGAGGAGGAGAGAATTTTAAGCTGAAAACTTCACTGACTGAAAAAGGCACAAAAGACAAAAATACTGAGGCCTTAAGGGAGGGAAAAAAAAAATAAAAGAGAGAAAGCATTGTAGGAACCATTTTCAAACTGAATGTCTTTTACTGATCAAAATGAGTATTTGTTGATGATGATAAAATTGTGTATTAAAAGTGATACAGGGTATTCAGGAGGAAATTTCTCTTCAACTATCAAGAAGACTGAAGACTTTAAATGGAAAAAACTGTTTGAAGAAAAGACATATTTTTCTCTTTAGAACATTATCTTCCAGTGCCTTCACATACACTGTATATAAATTTGGGTGTAAAATCAATAGGAATTCAACCTAGAAAATAGTTCCTTTATTATTAGTAGTACTTCTGATATTTCAATTTAATCTTTAAGACTGGCAAAATTATTTTTGACAAATGTTTAGTGTTGAGATTATGGGGTATGTTTCTTTTACAGTACTTGTAAAATACATTCTCATCTGTTCGAATGCAAATACATCATCACAGAGGAGACAGTAAATACAATATACAGGAAAGATTTGTAGTAAAATTTAGAGATACATAACAACAAACGTCTCAACATACTAACCTGGAAGCCAGGTGCAAGTTTTTCAAACTGTACATGTATTTTTAAAAAGATATAACTTTTAAAAATGTTTATATAGTGAAGCATTTTCATGAAGATCAAACACTTATTAAATCCAGTAAAATTATAGCAGCAATATGGGAGAATATCTAAGCCACATGAGCATTACTAATTAAAATAAAACCAAATATGAAATATTACATTATGTTAAATAACAAGGGTAACACACCAATTATTTATGCCAAACCACCAAAGAATCCGGATTTGTTCACTGTTTCAACAACACTGTTGTACAGTTCAATCAAAGTTACAGTTTTTAAAAAGTGTCGAATGCTGACTTCCACCAACACTGTTCTGGAGTGCTTCCTGGAGAACTCACCTGAATCCTTTAGTTTGAGCCTGACTATGATCCTTTTTGCATCTTTGCTATAGGGACTAAGGACGCTTTTAAATATGGATTCCTTAAAACTAGGCTTATTTTATTTACACTATTCAAAGTTTTCTCTTCCTTCCAACAACAAAATGTGCAGGAGGATTTACTACATGCTATTCAATGTAAAAATAGACTTTAAAAAGCCAGAACAATGTGAGTAAAACTGTCCAATGTTTGTTCCCTGTTCCAGTTCATTGCACTATTAAATTAAAATGGATGAGTTGTCATGCCCAGACGACTTACTGTAGGATCAGAAAATCCACGCACACACAGAGGAGGTAAATGCATACTGGTTTAGGTACAGTGCCAAATGAAAAAATACTAAGAGTTAAATCCATGGAAAGCTTGTCATCACAGGAAGGAGCATGGCTAATTCTGAAAGGCAGCCCTCTTCATGTAGGACACAGAACTGCAAAAGAACCACAAATACATCTTGATAAACATCAGTGAAGTTAGTCTGTATAAAAATGTATTGTATATACTAGAATTCTTAAATGTTGAATTCTACCCTATTAGTAACACAGTAGAATCTAGAAATTGACTGAAACTGGCAATTAAGATATCATCCTTTTCTCAAAAGATAATTAGTGACACAACCCACTACCTTTAATATTATCACCCAGAAATGAGTTAACTAAAGGTCATGTCTTAAACAGTGCTTTTTGAAGTGTTCTATTAGAAAACAGAACATTAAATAAAAGGTGACGCATGCAGTTATATTTTAAGAATATGCACTGACAATTTGAGATTCCAACCCTGCTTTATAATTCTGGTGCGTGTACTTGAATCACACAGTGGGAAGACAAGAGATGTCCTTCACATGTTTCTCATTCCTGTTTCACATGTAAGACACAAACCTCAGAGCAATCCAGCTTTCAAACCAATGCTAGCACAACACAAAAGCAAATAAGTCAGGTGTAACAAACAAAAACTTCAAAGGCAAAAAAAAGATGTTCTTGTTATCTGAAATACTTTCATAATTTAAAAATAGAACAAGGAGTAAATTCTTGATTTATTAAAACAAAAAACTGGCTTTTATTAATCCTTTACTAGAAGCTTGAAAGATTAGATATGAAATAGCAAAGCAAGATGAAAGACTGAGAATTATTCTGCTTTCATGACATCTACATTCAGAAAAAAAGCCTAAAAAAATGATACCAGACATATTTCATCAATTTTACTCAGCAGTAATGTATAGCGTATTTTAGCACTGTATTTTTATGTCACAATTATTGTTTAAGGACAACTGGAAAAGAACACAAAGCTTAGCATTAAATATATCAGAGCAGTTTACTGTATGGACACAGCTGATTTCAAAGGCATTTATTTCAGCTATAAATACATACTCATATATTGTTATATGTAATAGTTATGTTTTAAGAACGTCACAATTATTTACCACTTACGTGTGTTCTCAAATTAAGGAAAAACAAAACAAAACAAAACAAAAAACACCTTGCAGGGGTAGAGAGAATAATTTATTCAGTTTGTGTCTCATACTGGTACTATGTTATATTCAAAAATTATCCCTGTACAGGAAGTTAAATCTTCAAATTTTGTAAAAATGGGAAGCAAAACCTAGTAATTTTGAAATAATGTGTCTAGATGTGATTCCAGACAACCAATCCCTAATATCTTGATTCTGTGTACATCTACAGATTAACTTTTCATATATATCATTGATTTGTTCCTAAATAGCTAAATTAAGGAATCCTTGCTTCCAGCAGATTTCCCCAGATATTCTTCCTTCCCCTCATAACAATAAAAATAGGTAATTCCCCTTCCCACAGTGCCTTCCTCAGCTTCTACTTTAAATTTGCTCTGAACTCCATCCCAGCAGGTCCTCCCCACGTGGTCGCTCTGTCCTCATGGCCCAAAGCTGACAATGTGAATACCTAAAAGCAATCTGGCCAACTGGATGTTGGCTTTCCAAAGCCAATAGCGTTTAACTCAACACAAACAGTGGTTTCAGTCCCTCTCCTACCCAGATGCAGTTCCCTACAGTATTTGTGAAATGCAGTTATTGCTGCAATCCTTCTTTCTCTCTTGTGGGGTTGAACTTGCCAATTATTATTTGTGCAGCTGAAGAGACAGACAACACGACTGCACAGAGACATTTTCTTCAGAAAGCAACCTAAACTTGCATATTTTGAGGATTACAGATACTACGACTTGTTGCATTATTGTACTTGGCAAATAAATCAATAATGCAGAAAGTCATTACATTACACAAGCAAGAAGAAAGACTGAAAGCTTCTGTAAAAAAAAAAATAAATTCAGTGGGTATAGTCAATACAAACATGCTTTCATCTAAGGATGATACCCGTTCTTGCTTTGACACGTAGAAATAACGCAACTACAAGACATGACAAAAATATCTCCATCTGTGCTCCCTGCTTTACAGCTTAACTTGTGCACAAAAAACTTTGCTGCTTACTTGCTTGTGTAGGTCTTTCAATGGAAATAAACACCATGTTTTCAAAGCACATTTGTTAAACTGTCAAAAAAGATCAGTAGAAAGATGAGCACAAGCAGCATTTAAATACAGTGAGTTTACTAAGCTGCCAGCTTCAGTCCAAAAGTGTTCTTTCTAAGATCAAGAATTTCACAGTGTTGGCTCGATAATTTTTTCCCTGTCAGCAAATGCATTCCCCCACCCTCTTCTAAATCTCAATTTCTACTTCATGACCCCTAGTGATATAATAATAACAATATATTAAAAATATATTCAGAAAAATTTAAGCACAATTGCAAATGCTTATCAATTTCACATTACCATCTATTTTCATTCTAAATCTACAAAATATAATATGAATTATATGCTGGTGGGAAAAGAACTACTATTTACTTGCAAAGCAAATCACTATGTCCTTTTCTCTATTACTAACTTCAGGATGGAAATGTTCACTGAAATGTAAAAAGAAACACGACCCCAAAAAGGAAAAAAATTCCCTTGAAAATAATTTAGGTTGCATCAAGAGTAACATGAACAAGAGAAGGTAAGTTACTGCATTGTACAAGGCTACACAGAATATGTACATAGTCTGGCTTTGGGATACTTACCTCTGAGGAGGTACTCCCTATGGAATACCCTACAGAATTCCATATGGAAACAGGAGAGCTAGCTGATCGCTGGAAAGGAGGACTTAAGCATGAGGACAAAACGATGATATTTTTAATATTTTGGGGGGACATAAGGGGACGGTAGGAACTGGGAAAAGATGATGCTTTGAAAAAGGCAAACACCACAAACAATTCAAAACTAATAATCTTCTTCAGAAACGCACATGTAGGTTTTTCTTTTTTTCCTCTAACATGAGATGTGCTGAGATGTATTAGCCTTTTCCACTTTCTTATGCTGGATTTGCACATCCCATGTTGTGAGGATTTCTACTTTCAGCATTTCTGAAGCATTAGCTGGTTATGAAAAAAGGTGCAAGAATGATCCATGGTAACACAGAAGGTCTACAGCAGATCCGGTTCCAGAACTCTCCTTCAAGTCTCATGCCCCAGCTCTTACCCCAACTGCTTTGCCAAAACAAATTTACTCAATCATTATTAAATGACAATATCAAGCATTAGACAACATGCACAGAGGGGGTCTGTGTGCATCTTCCTACAGGATCTAAATTTAGTCTTTCATAAATTTCAGAATTATTTTGGCATTTAGTTAAAGATATTCAAGGTGGCGACACTTCTACAAAATACTATGAAATTCAGAGAAAATATAAACTAACTTCACTGTCTTTTCGTTTCTATGAGAACACCAGTGAATTTGGCAAGATTTCTTGTTAAATCAACACTTACTGCTCAGTCTTATGGTTCCATTAACCTTTCCAGACTCACGATGTTCTTTAATTTGTCCCATTACGTTATGTCAACAATAACACTATCACAATTGTTAGAATCACCTTTTCCTGGTATTTTTTCTTCAGCTCTTGCTTCTAAACAATCTAGGTAACTTTTCAACAGTAATCAACAGTATCTGGGCAAATTTATTAATAACTCCAAGGACAGCCATAACACCCACATAAGACTGCATGTTCTAATTTTTTAAATACCACAGAATAAAAAAAACAATGCTGCTTAAAAAAAAAAGTTAAGGACTTACTTGTAAGATTTTTTTTTTCTTTGCTCTGTAAAACGGAATATACAGCTAGAAAGGTTCCACCTGTGCTGACAACTACCACACTAACAGGATTTTCCATAAAGCTACACATATCCTATCGTCATATAGAATTTACTGCCTATTGTTTTGTTGTAAGACTGGAAAAAACGATCCTCAAAGGAACAAGAAGTTAACAGATTTTAGCAGAACAAAGTATCTTTGGTGATACAATTCACACATTTCAAAATTTAATTTCTTAATTAAGGCTTAATAAAAAGAAATTGAATTCATTCAGTGTAAGACAATAGCTGGATCACAGAGTAAAGAAATGTAAAATGAACACAATTATCACTCTACCATATGGATGATTATTACTGGATCCAGAACTTGTTATCCTGCTTCTTTTGGAAAACAAATCCAAAAGCCTAAATTCTCATTGTCGTTTTCACCTTGCCAAGACATTCTTAATCTTTCCAGTGAAGAGAGCTGACTCTTCAAAAAGCAGGTCGGTCCTTTTATTTTGATATTCAAGGAGTAGGTTGGAATTTCAGGTACAGAAGCTGAGCTGAAAGTTGCTTTATGTGATTGTATACAAGCATCTAATCTCTCTTTAACAAGCTTTAAAAATAATTTCCAGACAATAGACAGGTGGCTGGAAGTATTTTATGCCTCCCTGAGGCTTCAGGCCAGAAGTTTCAGTGGCAGAAAAAGAAACAGTTTACAACTTTGGAAACAATGGGAAGACTTTCCCTGTTCCACAGGCTAAATCTGCACTACAATGTAACCACAGGCTAAATCTGCATTACAGTGTAACAACTGTACTTGGTACATTGTAACAAGTGCACAAGCTATAAGTATTTAATGTAATCTAAACAGAGCAATACCGAGCTTAGTTAGGGCAAAACTGAAAGGAAGAGTAAAATCCTGTGCTCACTAGCTTGTACAACTGCTTGGCATTGTGCAACAGACCCACAGAAGATCAAGAAAGGCTTAGTTCTGCTCGGTAATGAAATGGTAGCTGAGGGGCAATCACCTCTTCCTTTCAGTACGAGTGATGTGAGTTGTTATTCTTCATACTCCCATCATTTGTTTTACAATTTAGAGACAACAGTGCTTGTACATGACAACCTGTTTGATCCAACACATTTAATGCGAGTATGATGTTTTTGCCATTGTTGCATCTAGCTAGCAGAACAACCCTGGTGACTTTAAGTCATGAGCATGCAGAGGCAGAGGTAGGAGGGAACCTACATATCAATCTTCCTAGATTATTCTGTTGCATGTTCAGCTAATATACTTTTATAAGCCTTCTCTGCAGAAGATTTCTCCATTTCTAGGCAGCCAGTTTCTTCTCAGTAGCCTCAAAATCTGAAAGCTTTTCTGGCTAGCTATGTCTAAAAATAAGAGCAGACTGTACAGAGGACTATTCATTCCAAACAGCTTCTACCAGATGTATTATGATGAAGAACAAACAGCTTTAATTATTGACAACAGTTCATCCTCTTGGGTCAAAGATTCTGCTTCATTAAACTACAGTTTAGTTTCAGGACCATTAAAATACCTTGATCTTGAGCCTAACTGGCTCTCAGCTCATAAGCAAATACATCTGTCTAATTTAAGAAGGATTTTCAGAAAGGGTAAGTAAACAATGGAGAAATCAAAGGAATCAACTGCATTCTTATTGTATGTGGTAGTTCTGCAACCCTATGCAAAATTTAGAAATGAGCCTCTTCCAACAGGAAGTCTGTCAGAGCTTCTAGAACACTGCATGGCTGTCTCCAGATTTTCTGAAGCAACAGCATACTAAATTTCACTCCCAGCTTTAACCTAAAAGTACTTTCAAATCTCTGCGAGTTGAGGGCATTTAGAATTCTGTAAGAAACACAAAACCCTTCAAAAATCATATGGAGGGAGTTAAGTCAACTGACTATTTAAAAAAAATAGACTTGGAAAGCATGATACCAATGGAAAAGAAAAACTGCATGAACATGGAGCAGAACATAATATACATTTGGGTAGCAAATAAAAAGGCATCCATCCTCCTTTAGTACACTCATTTACCCAGACCTTGGGAGTTTGATGCATACGCTAAACTTTAAACACTAAAGAAGATGGTACCATTTATATGCCAAGAATTAAGTAAGAACATAAGCATTAGTAAGATCTAGGCAAAAATAAAATCAAAAGAAAAACATTTAAAAGCAATTCAACAACCTGGTAACTACCTGGAACAACTCTTGAAAGCTTAAGCAAACAGTGATTTTCAGTGTCTGATATTCTATTAATATAATCAATGTACAAGACTGGAAAATAAAGGACTCGTACACAAATCTTTTATATAAAATGTGAAGATATAACAAGTAAACGTAAAATAAATAATTTTTACTGTTGATCAGAAGGTAACACTTAAAATGAAGCTATAAGCACTTCATATATCATATGCACTACCACCACAAGCAGTTTGAATTCCAATTCAAAAAAACCGTATGCAACTCAAGATTTTAACTATACCCATTAAACTCTGCAAGCCAGACTACTCTGTTCTAGCTATTTGAATATACACCACATATTTTGTTGTATTATACTATCACAAACAAAATAAACATGTTTTATTTATGAACTATATGCTCAGAAACCTCTGACAGCAGAGGAGAGCTTTGTTTGAAAGAAGGGCAACATAATTCACGAATGCTGTAGGACTACTCTTTTCAAATACACCTTGTATGTACATTAAGTTAATTCAGAATAAAAAAATCCCTGCTAAGGAACATACTCACCCTTTAAAATATAGTCTGTTAACAAGCTTGGCACTTTCTCGCTATCCTCTTTCATGGCATGCAGGACTAAAGTATAAAAAAAATAAAAATAAAAAATTCATATATTAGGTCATAAACTGAACACAATACTCTCACAAGAAATACCATGGATCAGTTTCAACTACTCATAAGGATATTACTACTAGGTTAGTAAAAAAACTCTTAACTGGAATATGAGAAGATACAATGAGACACGCTGTATCTACACCTCTCACTTGTGTAATTCTCACTGAACTCCACAGTAGACAGATGCAAGAGATCCCTTTTACATGATTAATTATTACAGTATAATGTCATCAGTCATAACAAAAAAAGCACCTCTTCCTTATTAAAAAAAAAAAAAAAAACTCTCTCAAAAAGGAAGTGACCACATACAAAACTAAAATACGCTAACAACTACCATAGCGTTGGAAATCGTAGGAAGAAAAAAAGTATGCTCCGTTACTCATTTCCTTGATCTGCATCCCAAGTCATGGAACAACAACACTTTTCTGGAGAAACACTGCTGTGAATGATCTGATGAAAATGTTGGTGGTGTTGTTTTCCCCTCTAAAATGGTGAACGCTACCAGATGTAGCTTAAATACATCTTAAATACATGACTGAATTTGGCATTAACTTAGAAAAATGTCAAAATGTCATTTTTATCAAGTCAAAATTGTCTGAAGAAAGGAAAACATTTGGACTAGCTCAACTTGACACATATAAGCTGGTCTGTTACTCCACGAACAACAACAATGACAATCCTTTATGAAGTATTCTGGACTCTACTGAAAGAATCAGAAATACAGAATTACACTGAATAGCAGTATTTAATAAACTCCAATTTCCCCATATGAGACCCTGAACTTGCAACATAACAAGTGTTTTACTTCAATTTTCATGTTGAACATAGACATTAGCGTTCAGAATAACACGCAGCTTTTAAATAAAAACCAAACAACCCCAATCACCTGCTTTACAGCAGAGACGGTGAGTCAGAAATCTGCAACTGAGTTGCAGGATCAAGTTCTAAGCAGCCCACAGAAGGCAATACTGTTAATACTCTTTGCAGTGCATTTGTACAAAACATGTTGTTAATAAACCGTTGAACAACACAAAATGCTTTTAGGAGGCTTTAACCTCTCTCTGCTTAAGACTGAATTTTTTTGGAGAATATTTTGAAGTGAAATTTAAATATGTCAAGAGGGTAAAATTTCTCTGCAGGAGTAAATATAAAATGAAAAATTCATTTGTCACAGAATAAGTATGAATTATGAGCCAAGTGCAGAAAAATAAAGGGAATTTACTTAACCATTTCATTTACTCCAGAATTTGTACAGTATTTCTGTTCTTTCCAGGAAACAACCAATGAGCCTTTTACCATCCCTCAGCCACCTGTGGAATCACAGACCTGTGTTGCTGGAAAGCACCTTAAGACGTAGTTAGATACAAAGCCCTGCACTGAGATCTGATCAAATACATTGACGCACTCTAGCATCTATTTTTAAACTGTTCCTATAAACTGAAAATGAAGGAGATCTCACTGACTCCCTGAGATGCTCTGCTGCATTTAACCACCTTAATTTTTTAAAAATACATCCTTATTTTTCATGCAAGCTGGAATAAAAAGCCCCCCCCCCCAAAACAGAGAACTTTGAATTTATAAATAATTTTGAGGATCTGGCCTTAAAAGATGTCAAGGTGAATTCAAAGCACTGTCAAAACTCTGGTTTATACTTCCTAATTATTAAAATTTATTAACAAAAACCCAAACCAACCCAGAGAAGGAGGCTATTTTAAAGGCAATCAAGCACAATCATGATATAACTACTCATAAGTGTCCCAACATTCATTCCAATCTTTGAAAGTCATTACAGTAATCTCAATAAGGCATAGCAAGTTTAAACAAGCAGAGGTATATCAGGTACTACAAGACAGTATTGCCTGCGTGACATGCAGTATTTTCCATATGGCCCACTTGTTGAAATGATGCAAGTACATTTACTTTCTGATACATGCCATTTTCTAGCCTTCAGGGTCCCAGAGAACAGCTAGAAAACAAACATACCATGAAGGCTCAGAAAAAAAGTAAAAACCGGCCAAAATGCACAGTTAAAAATCATGCAACTTCACATACATGCTTAGGGTAAAGGGTAAGATACAACTCTATGAATTCATTCATTTTGAGTTACCACAATTGGAAATACAAAGAGGAAGGGATCAGCGAAGGAACTTTGTATGCTCACTTTTGGTTAATGTTTGAAGATCTTCAACAGATGGAGGTCCATTTTTCTTCTCGTAAGGAATGACAGTTGTTAAGTACTGTCAAATGAAAAACAGAGTTACTTGATGGTCTTTCCATGCAGTTTATGTTGCTTGCATTTCATTTTGCAAAAATTGTAGCAATTGAAATTTCTACCCACAAATAAAAGCTTTTCAAAAGATAGTATTTCAAAAGAGATTAAGATTCTACCTTTCCTATCCCAAAACTTTTATCACAGAAGCCCACTTTTTTTTTTTTTTAAAATCATGTGACCACTTTAGAAGTCATGCAGCTAAACACTAGGAAGTAATTTAAAAATTGTAGCTGTTTACAATAATAGAGAAACTTTTTAGGTTTCTTCCTCAGAGCCTATGCACACGGATAGTAAAATCTTTCCTCTTCTCCCTCTACAAGTCAACCAGAGCCCTTTAAGTATGTAAAGTACTTCTTACAATCAAATAAAAGCTGGAAGAGCAACCTTCCCACCATCTCCCCTCAAACAACACTATAAATGCAAACTAACAATTTTCAAACTTGCTCTTAAAAAAAAGTATAATTATCACATGATTGTCACTAACTGTACCTAAAATCAGAAAGTAATTCTGTCTTTCCAGGAAGTACATTAAAAAATATAAATCTTTCCAGGTAAATATCAAGGTTGCCTTCAAATAACTTGGGAAACTGGTAACAGCCTGCTTTTTAAAGGATTCCAGAGCACAACTGATATAGGCTGTGCAGGTGCCTTAAGTAAGGTGTTCAGGTTCATAGAAGTGTGCTAACAAGTATTTGGGAAAATAAAAAAAAAAAATTAAAAATCTTTAAATTTGGTATATGCTGTGATTGAGCAACCTCAAAACAGTCATAGGATTTTTTTTCAGTGACTGCTTAACTCTTACCAAGAATGTGAAACATTCCAAGGATTTAGACAGATCAAATAACATTGCCCAGTCCCAGCTCTGGAGGTGACCTATAGTCCTCTGTGCAAAGAAAATTAGGCTGCTCCACAGTGAGGTGAAAATGAAAACAGACAACTTGTGCCTTCCGACGCAGTACGATTCCAACCAAAAGGAACAAAGCCAGCCTAATTAACCATAAGACCCCACCATCTGCATTCTGATTTAAATGCTCAGTTTTAGTAGTTGAGTGTGTTAACAGACTATTTCAAACTCCATCGTTGTTCTATTTACTCTTTACTGAAATCTTTCATTCTTGTCAGCTTTACAGAAAAAAAAAAAAAAGAGCAAAAGTTTTCTTAAATCTCTCAGGATTTTCATACCTGCAGTGCAACAAAATTTATTTTCAAATCCTTGAAGCAACCCTGTTGCTCTTTTATTAAATGTATTTAGGCGACATCTTACTTTGCAGCCCATATGAATGCATATTCTTCTTAAAGAGGTCAGCATTTCAAAAGTTCTAGAATTTTCCCTAACAAAAAAGCTTCCTGAAATCTCCCTCAATTAAATTTTTAAGAAGTTAACAGGAACTTTATTCTGGGTTAACGGCTACAAGGCAGTAGGGCAAAACAACTTTCTATCCCTCATTCAACTTGAGAGATAACGTGGTTCTCCATGTAAGAATCAGAAGAGATGTTATATGCAAGGTCTCTTTCTCTCCTAGCAGCAGGCCCTCAGCAACAGCCAAGCGTCACTCGGACTCCGGTGAAGAGGCTCCCTTTGCAGAAGGAGAGCTGGTGTTGCCCAACACAGCTATAAACCATGCCCTGTGTGGAGTGGGATCATGCCTCTCATGCTCAACCGTACCCTAAGAGCCAAAGAGACTCAGTTCTGTGTCACTGAAGGGAACTTACTGTACAGGACGTACTGACACCTCACCAAGACCATATGCAAACACAGGGCGCTTCTCTACCTCCCTTTTCATTCTGTGTTTTCTCACATCCACTTAGCACTGCGGAGGAAAGTAGGTAAGACTTCTCAAGAAGTCAATTTTCAATTTGTTTTCCAGCGGCTGTAACCAATAGGTATCATTAGAGAACTGCACTCTTACTGAAATTACCAGAATCAATAGCTAGATATACAGCTGTTAAATCTGCAAATGTCAGAGAAGAAAGCAGATCTACTGACTCGGGAATCAGATGTCAGGCTGTCATTTCCAGCCTTAGTGGCATTCTACCTTTTACCTAGACCATAAATTAGTAAGACATCTTCCACGGGATCAAATATCAGTATTCCCTGATTTTCATCTCCTGTAAACTCTACCTTCTAATCTTCCTCTCTAGCAGTAATAATAAAAATAAAACAGTAATTTCTTTCTTAGCTTCCAGAAATCATCTTGTTTTTCTCATCAATACTTTGCTGCTGTAACAATAAGTGTCTATAACAGCTCTATTAAAACTCATTCCCTGAATTGCTGTGTGAAGGATAACATATTATGAAAAGGAAGTAAAAATAACTAAAGTGTAGCTTACTGACATGACCACGTGTTAAGTCTACTGTGACCTCTACATTCCTGAAGCAGATCTGACAGTATGTTAAGAAGCAATTTCCACTGCAATTTGTAATTGCCCATAAAAAGTGTTTGGAATGTCTAAAAATTGAAATGAAGATGACTATCCTGAATTTTCTTCTAGAAATATGATCACAGAAAGAATTACCAACATCTCAATGGCTTTTATGCAGCTGGTGTCATTTTTTTCCAACTGCATTATTAGGTGGGAACAGAGAGTTCCCACTGAAGTTTCTCTTTAAATGTTGAAAAGTTTCAAGTAATTTTTACTTATGTCTCAAACACAGAAATAAAAGGATTAAAATTTTAAAAAGTGCCCACTATGGGAGTAATACTACCCAGGAAATTGCGAAGTTGATAAATACCATTAAAGACTGAAAACAGTTCTGAAATAACTGCACAAAGTTGTCATAAACTCTATGTTGTGACTTTATGTGTATGAACTTCTACATTCTAAGGTACACAAAAAATTGACTGTCCTTGTGTTTTTTTTTTTTTGTTTTTTTTTTTTTTTTCCTGAGCACAACTCCAAATTGTCAACTAACTCTTCCCTGCTAGCAGAAAACACATGAATGTGAGTTTACAATGACAATAAACCCTGAAAAAACACTCAAATGAATATTCTGAGAGCAGCACAAAGCATCTGATGCTTTTTTTACTTTACAGCTTAGTGCAATGAGAAGATGACATCAATATTTTAAAAGCAGAGCCAGGGTTTAATAATGTGACAAAACCCAACCAAACAAAAATGCCATAGAAATATGGATTTCCAGGACTAAACCAGAAAAGGGCTGGTATCTTTCCCACCTTTCTCCCTATTTTTCATTTTAAGCAACTGTTATTTCCATGATTTGCTTTAGGATACAGGAAGGGAAAAAAACCCCATAGCCCTGATAACAAGGGTATACTATAAGATAAATCAGAGCAAAAGTATGCTCAACATTAGTAAACTAATTCAAAAAATGACTGGAAGAGTTATCCAGTGTTATTGTTAATACAATTATGCTACTTATGTCTAGAAAGTTAGGAGGCAGTCAAAGAAGTAAAGGTGTATTCAAAGAGAGACAGGCATACAAACGAAGTCTTTTAACCAGAACTAACAGGGGCTGGAATAGCTAAATATGTTCACTTTATGAAAATACAGGATATTTAAAATAGCTAAAGATACAGGTAAATATCTGTAATTTATTAGTAAATGGTAAAGACAGCACAGAAAAAAACAACCCAGCACACCTGTTACTTACCAGTTTTGAGGTAATGTACAGTGATAAAAACTCTGTTAGGTGAGCTCTATGCATATGTTTAAGATCCACAGAACTGGGACAAATAGATGGATCTATGTATTCATAAACTCTCATACATGTACCTTGCTTGAGAAAGAGGGTAAGACCATGATTTCTAACCTCGTGATTCAGGGATGACTTGAAAGGAGTTGTTTTACCTCCTGAAATCCTCTGCAGGATACTTCAGTCATCTTCCAGACAAAAGCCTAATCAGCCATGACTTCTAAACTACCAGGCAGTTTATTGCCTCAAGTGACTTCTCACCAGGAGTGGAGGGGGGGGGAAAAAAAACAACAAACAAAAAAACAACACACTCTGACACAACTGTAAAAACTGTAATGTGTGGGTATGCATTAAATAATGCAAAATGTCAATATTTTGTAATGTTTGCCAAAAGCCTAAACAATATCAAAAGCATTAACACTTTACTGAAACACAGACTGCATTTAATAAAATACATACTACAGTTCTGAAACAAACAATTAAGTATTACTTTGAAATAAAGCATAAGAATATTGATACTTGGGTATATGTAACATCTACACTGAAGCTTGGTCTCTGTGCTGTGTTTAAATTTCAACATTTAAACAGTCAATGAAAAGACACAAACTTGCTTATGGCTTATGTATTTTGTATCAGTAATTTGCACTGCACACATTTGGCTGCTTTTAACATCATGCAGTTTTCAACGGCAAAAGTCCATGCATTTCCCAGATGCTACTCTGATTTCAGATATATTAGCTCTGAACATCTGAAGAAAAAAGAAAACAAAATCTTTTTTTCAGTTGGAGATATTACCCAAGCTCTTAATGCTGAAGGCTGAAATGTTATGCCTAACCTGTTACATTCTTCAATTGGATATTAGATTTCTACATACAGGCAATGTATTTGAAGCACGTGTTATGTTAAAATCGATGTTTAGTCTGGGGTAAGATACAAGGGTTATTATTTCAGTGCATCAGGATATCAAGCCCTGACTGTCTTGAGCTGTTGAGGAGAGAAAGAGACTGTAGGCCGATTAGAGTCCTGAGGCAGGGAAAGAGTACAGGTTCCACAATTTTTGTCCTATTTTTTCCTGTCTCATCATTCATCTTCACCTATGTCAATTTTCAAGATCTTAGTTCCTACCAAAAGTGTAGGCAAAGAATGAGGAAAAGAGAGAAGATAGCCCAGCACCTGTTTCTCTCCACCCGAGTTTCCAAACGTGTGGCGGAAGCCATTCTGTATGACATTTGAGATCCCTTCCATGCTGAAGCGCTAAAAGTAGTGAAAACATAGCCGAAGGAAAAAAAAGGACAGGAAAAGTTCAGAAGACTATTAATCAGCATTTATCAAGACTGTAAAAGACAAATGACAAAGACCAGCTCTAAGACGTATTTCAGCACATTTGTATTTTTTTATTCGCCTACTTAATTTTTATAATTAAAAAGCAAATCTTATGCAGTTAAGTAGGGTATCTACTTCAAAATTTAATCAAACAAAGTCTTCACAGTGTAGACCCAATAATTAAGACTTGCCTTTCAAGGCTGTTTCATTTTGAAATGTAAAAAATAGTATTTTTGAAAGTGTAGTTCACAGTATAATCTCCTTTAAAATTAGTGTTTGAACAACTTATTTTTAGAGACACTGCTGATACCAATTTTTCAGATTTTAAGCACATGCTAGAAACACTGTTCAGAAGTAGTCATTTTCAGCTCTATCTCTTTAAAACACTTCATGCTTTCATGCTTCCTTTTCCACAACTGAAGCAACAATTAGTATTCCCCATTTTTTTGTAATATGATAAAATATACACAATTAGTTAATAAAGCACTCCTATTAATTTCAAGCTTTACCACATGGAACCATGGAATCCAAATAAAGAAAAATTAACATATACTCCAACCACAGTGGTTTTTTTCTTGAACTCTGTAACCCTTTTTGCTTGCTGATGAAAACAAGTTAAAAAAAAAAAAAAATCAAAACAATTTTGATGTTTAGCATAAGATATAAAAATCGGTAACTGACAAGAACATAAAAAGAAGAAACTGCCAAGCTGCTGGCACAGAGCAGTATGGTGTGCACCCCTCAGCACACTCATCTGAAAGTATTTATTGGGGAGGGGTGGGAGTAGGGGAATAAAATGTGCTGGAATAGTGTTCATTTGCTTTCTAAAGCACAATGAGGTCAGTAAATAAGACATAGATGTTGCAAAGCCATCTTAACTCTTTTAAGATGCCCTGCTTAAGGGAATTGTTATCTTCAAGCCCTGACTATTTTTCATTATTTCTCAGTTTGCCCTTGTGAGACAGGTAAAAGTTTTAGAAGTTTAAGAAAGTGATTTACCCAAAGACTGCATCAAAGACAAAGAATTAAATCATCTATTTATTAAAATTCAATTATAGTATCTACAAGAGAATTGATTTTCTTATAGTACATAAATTTAACTCTACTTCCAAGCTTTGTATTTAAATGAGATTTTACAGTTTGAGTTAATAAAATTACTAATTTATACCTTATTTATTAACAGAAACTCACTCTTTATAAAGTTACTTGAACATACTATCTGTATTCACATTCTCAGCACTTCCTTAAAAAAAAGAAAAAAAAAGAAAAAAAAGGAGCATCGAAGGAAAGAAGCTTACACCTCTTTCTGGGAGAAGGCTCTCAAATCTGTACTTGGTGACAGCGAAAGCTATTTTCAAAGGAACCACATGTACCCATCCCACAGTCTTACTTGGGAGCTGGTTTGTTCAATCCCTCTCAGAAGGCAATCTGACACATCTATATCTTGAAGCAACCAAGTATGAAAATGTCTTATATTGGGACCATGTACAGTTATACTTGAAAGCATCATTCAAGTCTCTAAACTTGAAATCAACCAGAATAGCTTATGAAGCACTTGACTCAAGTTTCAAAACCAAGTAATTATTTTTCTTTCTAGTTAGATTACCACTTTTTGTTTTCCCGTGACCGAAAACCAAAAAAAGGAGTACATTTGAACTCTTCACTATGCTCTTGCAACAGGATGACAATTTTGTATTGTTTTCCAGACATATACTTTTTTAGAGTTCCATTAAAACTTAGCTATATACACACACTTTCCATTAGATGGAGAAGATCAGAACTCCATTTGGGTTATATAATAGGTATCTTATTCTTCTAAGTTTAGAAATAGATCATTACAAATATTTATTCCTTGGAATAAATTTTCTCCATCCTGTAAGAGACCCTAATAAATTCTAACATTAATATCCCATTTAAGTAATTCAAAATTATACTAGATGGATAAGAAAGAAAAAATTGCATTGACAACATACTAACCTAATTTCTTTCATTCTTTGCCTCTTATTATTCAAACTCTGTCTGAATGACATTCATTTTTCCTTTTGTTGCTCTGTTCTGCAAAGAACAAAGCAAATTATCTCCTCCCTGTACACCTACACTGCACTTTGGCCTCACCTGTCTCTCACTGGACACAGTAACTCTATCACTGTTTCAAGAGATCTAGGGTAAGACTCGCTTTTTTGCTACCTAAAGCCCAACATGATCAATAAATATCTGTACAACTACCCCAACAATAATACTGATTTTCCTTCAAGACTAACAGTACACACATACCAAGATTAACACAGTGAAACCAAACAGATAAATGAATTTGCCTGCTGACAGCAGAACACCCAGCAGTACAACCAAAGACAGCATTTTTTGCAAGAAAGGTATGCTGATTCCAGGCTAATATTTAACCAATAAAAAAAAAAAAAAAAAAAATCTGTTTTGAGTTATGAGAAGAGAAGGTCATGTTGTATGACCTTGTGAAAAAAAGAATCTCAATAGGAAGTGCCTAAGCCTTGTTTGCGAATGAAGGCATGGAAGCAGGTACACCACATATCTTGATATAATCTAGGACTTCCCATGGGGAAAAAACAAAAAATATTTTGAATGTATAAATAGTTATAAAAATTTTCTTACTGTTCCAGGCATATGACCTCTTTCTTGTTTGCCATTCTGAGGACTACCATTTTTCAGCTTCTTTTTCTTCTTTGCTGTTTCTTTGTGTTCTCTCTGTTTGTTTTGTACTTCAATAAGGACAGAAATGAAGCTGTTTTTCACTTCCTTCTCAAACTCCAACTCATCTCGTAGAGCCAACTGCTGTACCAGTTCCTCAGAATAATCCTTAATAGCAGTCTCAATTTCTTCTAGCAGTTCATTTAACTCAGCAACAGACAATCTTTTTACTCCTATAAATAGTCCATATAAAAAGTAATCTGTCAAGATTTTAGGCATAAGAATACTTGTGGGAGTTACAAGAAAGAAGTACTCTGAAATTTTTCAAAACAAAAAATTCAGCTCTAAAACTACATAGAACAAAACAATATTCCTAAAGAAATAAACACATCACAGAAGCAACTAGATTAGCAACAAGATGGTTAAACTTTCTTCTTATGTCTGAAAAACTACAATAATTTGCAAATATGAAGAGCATGTTGTAGTTAAGGAAGCTGAAGTAAGCACTAACATTTTAACACTGACATGTCTGTTAACTATTACTTTCCACCTACATTCACTGTTCAAAGTAAAAGGTCTCCATATTTTCTGACAAAAGCATCAAAACTTTGGCATTTCTGGAATCCTTGGATTTTTCACCTACAGTAATACAGAAACTATACTCCATGAACATGGGAATCCTCTTGGGGGATATTTATAAGGTATGCATGCATATTAATAAAAGCTTGCGCCAAGCCTTTATGGCAATATTTTTAGATGCATTTAGTAGAAAAACCAACACAATCCTCCAAATTTTCTTTATCTGGGGATTGTAGTCAAAAGCATGGCCTTATATTGGCTGAAACAAAGACGTAGATCAAAATTTCTGTAGATCAAAATTTGTAAATCAAAAATAAGCATGAGAATCAATTAGTCAAAACTAAATCAATTGGTCAGAAGCCTGTAAGATGTCAGTTTGGAAACAAAAGAAACCCTCTAGGTTTGCATTGTAAAGGTTCTATTGGATCATGTGTTAAAGAATGAAATTATGACCAAGCAGAATGTGCTGAGGCTTGCTTGGGTTAAAAGCGAGCATGTTCTTTGAGGACTGCCTTCCATTTCCAATTAAGTCTGACACACCTAGAAAGCTAGTAAGTCCCAGAAGTTGCTATGTCAAAGAACATTTTCACTGGCATCTGAGAAACAGCTAGTCCTGGTTACACTGAAGGGTACGATCTGTTTAAGGACACTGCATAAATGTTTGAAATTATTTGGTTACGTTGAATCAGTCTAGTAAATGCCATGTCTAAAAAAACTGTTGTAAGGGAAAGTGTCTATGGACAAGTGTTGAAAAATACAAGTAAGATCCCACACTCCAAAAACAGTGCAGCTCTTAAAAGCACCAAAGGTAATAGGTGAAATGTGATTTTTCTCTCTTAAATTACAGCAGGGAAAACCGATCGGAGAAAGCTCCTTGTCACTTAATAAAGAAAAAGCAATGAAACCTGTTAAGGCAGTTTTCCAGCAAGGAGACACAGTTTTTCTGAGTAGCTTAGGTACTGTTCAAAAAGTATAACAGTACCATATGCTTAAGGATCTAATTTTCAAGTAGTTTGAACCACACATTGTCTATACTGTTGTTTAAACTATTCTAAGTACGTAGCATACAAGTTATGGCCTCTACTTGTAAGCCAGATCTTGGCTGTGCACACAGTCATGGCACATACCACGGAAGGTCTTACCATAGCATTAGCTTTTTGCAAAGTCAACTCCTGGTTGTCAGAAACAGCAAATAGCAACATCAACTCAAACATAAGCAGGGGGAAGAAAGGTGCATTCAGCAACAGGATTATCTGGTTCACTGTGGGTGCAAGTCACAGAACAGGCCTTGCAGTCAGTGACACTGAGTATACTCTGTGGTAAAAATTAATATGAATAAGTTCCATCTGCACAAAGCACAGTCTAAAAAGCATAGGTTGCACCACCGTTTTGTTTTTTGTTAGAGGACTAAAGAGAGCACCAGTGAATCCTGACACTTAAGAACCAGTTTCACAGCCTAAGAAACAATTGGTCCAAAACCACAGGTGCAGATTACCCAAGTGCAATCCTGACTCGTTTATGATAGATCAGTTGTCATTATCAAAGCCTACAAAAGGACTACATATGAAATACTCAGCTAACACAGGTGAGAGAGGACAGAGCAACTGAAATGCAGAAGACTACTGGGATTAAGCCTTAGATATGTAGGCTAAAGGACTCACCTGTGTAACCAGAACTGTAACTAGTTTTATTTTTGGACTGTTTTAATACGTGTCTTTTCCTATCCAAGAAAAACATAAATACAAGCTTTGATTTCCTGCTCTCAATCCTAAACATTAAGACCTCTGACTTGTTTTATAAAAGCCAGACCATTTCTAGGAAAACACTGCAACAATTTCAGAGATGCAGACTAATTCTCAAGAAGTTTTGCACACACACAAAAAGGTAGCAGGAGCTTTTCATAAAAGTGACTTGAAAAACATGAAAATAGATCCTGAGAAACTGGTGAAGCAAAGTTAAGTTATCTGCCAAAGTAACTCAAGGCCTTGTTTGGTCAAGGCTGACCTTTAAACCATAAAGATGCAATAGACAAGATGAACTCCTGAGGCAGAGCAAAATAAATAAGATATGATATACCAAGCAAGCTTGGTTAGCTCCAAACCTAAGGACATATGGAACTGTCAGAAAAAGCAGGAAGCCCTGCTGAGCAGGATACACTTTGCTTCCACATTCCTAAAATTTATGTGTTGAGACAGCTAACAGCGTAACCACAAAAATGGGATCTCCTCCATAAATCTGAAGTTTAGCAGAAACTAAGTCATGTCACAAAAGGTCAGCCAGTTTTCTGAATTTTCTACAGAGTTTATAATGCTGACCCAGACTACAGGAAAGAAAGCACTAAGCTTTGTAAGAAGGACCAAAGTAGAAGGGTCTTCTAGCAAGTATTCTTGGTGTTCCTATCACCTTCTAGAATTGATTTTGACAAATAGACAGATGAAACAAATTTCCATCAAGAAACTGATTAATTGCAGGTTTCTTTTACATAAAATTCAATATGATACAATTAAACTATACATGTAATTTCTCCTTTCCTTTTGTATAGAGAAGAACAGATGATTTGAGTAGAAGATACAGAGGGTTTTTTTAACTTTTAACCTTTTTGAAGGTGAATGGAAGGAGAGGACAGAAAAATATGCGAGGTCCTTATGGGAAATAAAAAGCAAGGGTTGCCTTATTTTTGTGTTATTGTATATCAAGATATGTTGCAGTGACTGAAACAGTATCAAAGAAGCACCATTTTCTTTATTTACTGCACAACTTTCAAGAGATCTAGCTAATCATCTTAATCAGTGTACTGGCCTCAAGAAAGTGTCTCACTTTAAACCAAAGAAATTAATAAAGTTTAATAAAAATGATTGACTTATCACCTTACCTATGAAGGGACCTCATTTCAGTGAATCAAGCTTCCGCATATTTGCTTTAATTTGAAATTCCATCAAATTTTGTTTTTATTCTAAGCTATGAAAGCTGACAAAGATGAGTCCTCTATTTATGTTCTACATCTAGTTTACTCTTTCAAGGCATTCTGAAAGTATTTTGGAATGCAGATATTTCATAAGAAGGACTTGTTATTAATCAAACATATGGCAAACATCCCTTAAACTATTTTCAATAAGCATAAGAGTAAAACACTAAATAAATATCACTTACTCTCTTCATAGCTGTTGTTTGTACTGGATCTCTTGAGCGTCTGAATTTCCTGGGAAAGTATGGAGAGCCGATCCGACTGGGTGGGCGTTTCATCGTCTTCGGGATCAGGTGATTCCTGCATCATTTCCTCTATTTCTTCAATCACCTTCAAAAATGAAAACCCTCATGAAAACCCTCCTGCATGAAGAGAAACAGCCTGCAATTTGAAGCAAAGCTGTTAAGAGCTTAAGGTTTGTTTTAATTTCAATTAGCTAAGCTGCTGCTGGATGGAACTAATACCAAGACTGGATGGAAGAGAATCAGCGAAATCATACTGACATTTCCTCCCCATCCATGCTCTCTGAGAATAAGACTACGTTTCCAAGGTAAAGTGGTGGTCTCCTAACAAGCAGTGTGTTGAAACTACAGTTATTTCTACATGAATGCATACATGGTTCTGCTTAAGAGAACTGAACTAGAGAGAGAGCTGGGATATCTTTCCTGAGTATTCAGTTGAAGGAAAATAAAATAAAACCAAAAATCATTTACCTCTCCACCCCCCATTTCACTGCACTTCTCTAAGCAAAAAAAAAAAAAAAGAGAGAAGTTTTTTGAACTGATCCATCATAAAACCTAAGCTAATTTGGATCCCTGGGCATAAGACCTGAGCCAGACAGAAAGTATGAGAACAGAAATCCTGAGCTTACTTTTCATTATAGATATGACCATATTTCTACAGGCTAAATTAACTGAACAGCTGAATAACACATCGACTTTTACAGGTTTAAAGGCTGTAGACAGTGCCGAGATCCACCTCACAGTAAAACAGAGCTGAGGCACTCCAAGAAATCCTGTCTCTCGTACTCTTAATAACCATCTTCATCAGAGTTCACAGGTAACCATTTAAACAACAAGGAAATATATTCCTGCATTTGCTTATTAAAGCAGGATCTTAAAGGACAGCCATTAACCTTACTCAGAAGAGCAACTTTCAAGATAACTTAAGTAAATCCATGGATTTGGAATAGAAGACTTTGAAATCTCAGTAGTAGAACTGTTGATCTGCTCTCGTATTAGGCAAAAACTTCAGAGAATTCTTGCTAACCACGAAGTCACATGAAGATATGAATGGCCACACAGTCATGCTGGAAAACTACAAACTCTACAATACCACCAATATTGTGAAAATATTTTTGCTTCTTAACACATATATTTAACTCAGTAGTATTTCTGACTAATTCAGGGTAAGAAATGTATAAAGGTTTCAAAGACCCTGGACTATCAATCTCACCTGAAGCACTGGAATCCTTTTCAAATCCGAATGATGCAGTAATATCTCACACATTATTACAACCCTAAATAAATAGCAACCAAGAAGCTTAGCTACGCTGAACAGCAAGAAAGAAGATCAAAAAGTAATTACAGACTAAAAGAAAACACTACACCAATAACACTGTCTTTGCTGAATACTTTACCTGCTCTGCTGTGAAGAGTGGTTCATCATTGATGCAGGAAACAATGATAGAATGCATATCCAACTGCTCTCTCAGCTCTTCGTCATCTGACAGGTCAAGGTTCAAATTATCATTTCCCTAGAAAGCATGAAAATGTGTATTTATATACATATATATACACACACATTTGTGTGAGTATATATATAAAATACATGTACTATATAAAAAACAACGGGAACTAATATTGAATTTTAAGAATGAAACAGATTCCTTGACCTTAATAATGGAATCAGTGATTCCTGCTCTCAAACACCCAGAAAATGAAGTACCTTAACAACAGCAATCAGAACTGCAATTGGATAAAGTTAAAATAGCTTTCAGTCTTTAAATACCCTCAGCATATAAAGACCATACGCACAATGACATGCAGATATCTGCATATATGCACAATGACAGGCAGTCATTGTAGATGTTCAATCCAATGTAGACATTTAAATCTTAAATGAAGATAAACATTTGTCAGTGTGGGGTGAAAACCTATCTATAATCTCTGACTTTACAGAAACCTTTTATTTTACATGCTTTTATAGTTCTAATTTTTCACCTAAAAGACATGAAGAAGGTGGTTTTAAAAAACAGAACATGGTTATCACCCCAGATTATTTTAAAAGTATATTGTTGAGTATGTCAGGGTCTTTTCAAAAAGAAACAGAAGTAATGCTGTTCCCACATATCTATCATCAAATTACACTCATCCTTCAAAACCAAGGATGTACGTATAATAAAATAAAATATTTAAATCCCCTTTGTAATTAGTCAGGCATATTTTACTCTCAACACAGTGACATACTCTAGTTTCTTTACAAAGTTGTTTGCATTTTTCTGCACTTTGTCTATTACTAGATTCCAGACAAACCACCATAGGAAAGCCCCTCTCTCCTCAACAGCTGCAACCCCTAACCTTGACATTTTGAGCTCAATCGTTTTAACTAATCTTGGGGCTTATTTACAAGCATTATGACTAGCTGTATGAAGTCCTTGGTCGCACTATATTAGTTTTCAATTTTTGTTGTAATTCCTCCAATTTTTCCAGCTTCTTCAGAAAACTTAATTGTTTTCAGATTAATTTTGAAGATGCTACCTGTTATCCTCAGATAGCTAGTCTAGAGGAGAAAACATACAATTTGTATTTCTTTAGCCATGAGAATGAAGTCAAATGTCTACTTTTTTCCAGAATCTGAATTCCAATAACCATGCAGTGACAGGGCTCCACTAACAATATCTGTGCACCTACACCACAGATACATCCCAGTTTTGACATTCTTTACCATCTGTGTAGTCCTCAAATGCTTGTCCACGTATATAGGATTATGAAAACAACTATGGGATAGTAAGCAGGGATAATAGTTTATCTAAGAGGTCAGCTTTCCCTCCTGACTTCCCCAGAGACATTTTCAGCAATTCTCAGAATATATTCTGATAATTTAAAATAATAAACCACCTAATCCAGCCCAAGATACAGCTGATGCCAAAAGGACCACACGGCCTTCCACCAAGCCACATTCCCTGCCTCTTTCTGTTCTCACACTCCTACCAGGGAATGACCTGTTTAAAAGTCATCTAACAAAAATACAGTAAACAAGCAATTGCACAATCCTGTTCCTTGTACCACTGTACAACACATCCACCCAATTACTTCTTTCACCGTCAGAGCTGTAGAAAAGTGTTCATAGATCTGAGATGTGAAGCAACAAAGATTAGATGAATCAGCCTCATTCGCCTTATGTTTTTTTCCCTACTAAGCCAGGAAAAGAAATACTTTAAGAACAACTTCAACAGCAGATTATTAGTTTCAAACGCATCAAGGAAGTGTTGCTTAGCTGTTAGTATTCATTGTAAGAAGTTAAAACAAGCTACTAGCTGGTCCGTATGTGCTGTCACATATCCAGAAATACTGCTGAAACACGGAGAAGTAGAAAAGTAGTATATCAAACACTCCCAAACGGATGGGCTTTACACATCAAAAGGCATGCCAGGTGGAGAGAAAGCTGAAAAAATCTGAGACGTGTTTAATCCATAAACTGATTTTCCATCTACTGAGAGCATACTTAAAATTCTTTCTAATCCAGCAACACTATGTTACATTTTTTTATGCAATTCCTTCATCACTTCCTGCAAAGAACTTACAAAAACTATACAAAACATTTTTTTTTATTGCACTTAATTCCTTATCAAGAAATTCATCGTTCTTCCACTCCATTTTTCAGTCACACAAGGTCACAGCATGGGGCATTGTAAGTCCCTTTACTGTAAGTGTAAGGATTTAATTACTCTAAAACCACTTAGAAAATCTGAACAAACATTTTAACAAAAATCAGAATAAACACAAGCCAAATTCAAGGGATAACCATCAAACTCGACTTGATAAAGCGAGTTCCAAATTGCCATATTCCCTTGCTGAACCCCAAAGTATCCTCTTCAGCAGAACAAACTGTTCCTGTCACAGTAAAAAGTAGCTGTGGATAATATAACGGTCAGCAGAAGTCAAAGCATTACCTATTCTCAGGTTACACACTGAGATATTTTTACAGTATAACTCAACTTCACTGTGTTTAAAAGATAAGCCACTTGTTTCCTCAGAAGACCTGGGAGATGGGAATTCTTCCTAGCTTTTCTTCCTGAAGTGTTTTAATCCACTTTTAAGGAGATCAGAGGACAACCCTTTTTATAAGCCTTTCTGAAGCAATTAATTTCCTGCTCCCTCCTCAGACAACTACCCTACTTTTTAAATAAGAAAAACAAAACAAATCAAACTCTTGCACTTCAGTGTCTCCTGGGTCACCTTTCCTGTAAAAGAAGCCACTTCAGTCTCCACCTGACTGAAGAATGAGATGAACTTAAAAGAAGTTAATGCTAGATTTACTAGATAAGAATACTCCCGCCTCTTTTTCTCCTTTACCAAGAATAGTGTTCAACATGAAACAGACAGTAGAAAGATTTTATGTTAAACACTTCCTCATTTTACAGTTTTTTCTATCGTGCTCTGGCTCTAGTGAACTCTAAAACTAACCCTGAATTATCCCAACCCAAAGACATGCAAACATACATCAATGGCTGTTTGATGTTTTGATTTTTAAAAACCTCTCATGTATGATGTTAAGTACTGAAAATATTTTAAGCCATTTAATAACAACACTCTTGTATACATGTGCAAATTCTTTTATTTCCCTGCTGACTATAAAAGATCCAAAGAAGGTATTTCTGTGATCAAGACTTACCCCTTTTTCTGAAAGATTCAGTGTTGGCAAGTGCAAAGCTCTGGTGTGGGAAGATTTCCAGTCAACTGGCATTACGTTACCATAATTATCAGTCAAAGCATTCCAAATCCTGGAAAGAGGAATAACGGAACAAAAATGTAGACTTTAAAAAAAGCAGCAACTGATCAACAGTAAATGTGTTTATAATGATAATTACTCCTATCAACGACTACTTTTTCCTCCCTAAATATTTATCTACAAGTTACTGACTATATTTTTATAATGCTTTGAAGCTAAGAGAAAATGTTTCCTGAGAAACGTAATTTATTTCCCTTTTTAAACCAGCAAAGTATGCACAGTGATGAAATAAAACAATGCAATGAAGAGACAGCTTCATTATTAATTATAAACCATACCCGAAATCTTTTTGGGGGTTGGATGAATCCTTCCTTTAATGAAATTTGAGATCAGCTATAAATTCTATTCCTAGTGTCACTCCCGTTTTCCTTGCCTTTTACACATTAAAATCAGGAATCAGCAGAGGTTAAGTAGCCAAATTATGAGCCAAATAACTTTTTTTCCTTTTTTTTTTTTTTTCATTTATCACAGAATAACGAACGCACACAAACGATAATAAAATTTTGCATGAATTTAGAAGTATTTTTGCTGAGTTCAGCCCACCACTCTTGCCCACGGTTGATCTTCACCATGCCTACAGCGTACAGCCTCTCTGCCTAGACCCGAGGCTTGCATACGCAGCCCTATTCTGGCACACCAGTTCCAATTTTGAAACAGAGCAGCCCTGTTTGTAGGCTGCTGCCTCAAGACAGCTAACAAACCCTGCCCCTAAGCGCTATGCTGTGGGTGCGCGTTTGGAGTGGTTGCCTAGCTAAGCTCAGAGGGGGGTCTGCGGGACGGCCAAGCCACACACAGAAGGGCAGACAGAGCCTCACCACTGCCCAACACGTCTCTAATTCATGGTTTTCTGAACTTACTGTGCTGTTTATACCACAGACAACTAGTTTTTTTTCTAACTATTTTTTTTTTTTCCTTCTCTTAGAGTAAGACATACAACTTAGCTACCTCAAAGAAAACCTGCAGTATTTTTAATGAAGTTGACTGAAATTTACTGGAAAGTAACAAGTATAAATACTTGTAAAATAGTGTTAAAAATAAGAAAGTGGCACAGATCAGAAAGGCTCCATTGCTCAAGGGAAAAAAAAAAAAAAAAACAACAATTTTCACAGTCGCAGCTGAGATTTTGTTCTTCGCCTGCTTCCCCTACTTTCCGTCTTTAATTTCATACGCCGAAACCGGGCATTTTGCAAGAAACTAAACACACGTACTACCCTCGGTCCCGCTGCATTTCAGAACAGCTACCTTTTCTTACCCCGGAGGCAAGAGGCACCGGGATGCTCGCACACTTCCCTGACAATTCGGGATGCAAACCCAGCAGGCCCGCTGCCAAACCCGCGCCGTGTCCGCCTGCCCCCGGGCGCGGGTGGGTTCCCGGGCCCCGGGGAAAGGCTTCAGCCCCGCAGCCCATCAAGGGGCGCTGGGCCGGAGCGAGGGGAAGGCCCAGGCCGGGGGGCAGCGCTTGGGCAGGGCGAGCCCCGGCTCCGCACCTTGCCCCGGCCCCGGCGGCCCCCGCCGGCCGGGCCAGGCCTCCTCCGCGGGCGGCCCGAGCGCCGCCGCTCCCGCTCCCCGCCCCGCCCCGCCCCGGGGCCTGCACTCACTCATCGTCCTGCAGGGCGCTCTGCTCCGTCAGGGCCCGCAGCGGAACGCGGCTCTCGCCGCCGCCGCCGCCAGTCCGGGCCTGCGGGGGCTCGAAGCAGAGGGACAACTTCGCCCCCAAATCCCCAGCGGCCCAGCCGCCCTTGTCGCGGGCGGCCTCGGGACCGCCCCCCGCCGACGGCTGGAAGCCCGAGAAGTCCTGCCAATCCCCCGGGTCTCGCTGCGAGGCCGCCGCCGCCGCCGCCGCCATCGCCGCCGCAGCAGCTAGAGACACCGGGCTGCGCGCGCCCCTGCCGCGGCTCCCGGCGGCGCGCGCGCGCGTTCCCGGCGCCTCCCGCAGCTCCGGCGGGGCGGGGCGGGGCGGGGCGCGTGACTGCCCAACGGCCGGGGCGGGGCGGGGCGGGGCGCGTGACTGCCCAACAGCCGGGGCGGGGCGGGGCGGGGCGCGTGACTGCCCAACGGCCGGGGCGGGGCGGGGCGCGTGACTGCCCAACGGGCGGGGCGCGTGACTGCCCAACGGCCGGGGCGGGGCGGGGCCTCCCTCAGGCCCGGGCAGGGGCAGGGGGGCGGCAGGCCCGGCCCGGCCCGGTGGCCGCTCCTAGGCCGAGGGCACAGGCGGCCCTGACCGTGACCGTGACCGTGACCGTCGCTCCCGGCCGCCTGCCAGGGCTTGTTCCCGCGGGGAGCGGCAGCCCCAGCCCGCGGGCAGGCGCTGCTGGGGCAGCAAGGGAAAGGAGGGGCTGCAGTAACGGTGTTGTAACCTGGTAGCCTAGAGGTGAGTGGCTTTCTGGCTGTCGTTTCCCCCTCCGTTCAGCCACCCAACACATCTGGAATGAAGTTTTCGAAATAGTTGGCTGTTATTGGCACAGCCGCTCCCGTACCCAGCCGCTGCTAGCTTTATATGATGTCTGTATACGCAAGAGCTTATGATGGGCTTTTTTATCTAGTACATTTTTGAGCCACTGTAAACTTTTGATATCCCAACGTACATAGCAAGAATCTTTTCTGCTTAACTTCTTGAACTTGTTTTGAGCCTCCTTTAAGTTTCTTTTCATGCTTCCTACTTGATGTTTGGAAAGAGACACAGAGAGTGAAGAATTAATTCCCTGTTAAGCATCTGCGTGCCACTAAGGTGACTTAAAGACTTTGGTCCTGACCAACCCATCGTAGGCATTCCAATATGATCCTTCCTAACACTGGGAGTAGAGCAAAGGAGGCCGGGGCTGCTTTGAGTGTTCAAATGCCAATGCACCATTGTTTTATACATTAGTGCAATGATGTTTTCTGTTCCATTCTGATGAAAAAGCAGAATGTTTACAGACAGAATTTGAAGATGCTCGTCTGGAAGACATAGCCATCCGTAGCCATAGTCTTGGGAAGGAGCAAAACTGCTGGAACAGGTAACTAGCAAGAGAGAGGAAATTACTGGAAATTCAGCATATATAAATGTAAAGGAATGCACAAACCCACCAATCTATCCTAGTCAGTTATGGGCTTTGCAGTAACTGTTACTACTTGGGCATGCTGGATTATTGCAGCTAGCTCTGTAAGAGCACTGACTCAGTAGTCAGTACCAATCCAAACAGTAAATAAGATGCAAGATCCAGGATGTACCATGTTTGAACAATGTGGGCATTTTCCGTCCCTTTACCCTTGATCTCAAAAGGTTGCAACAGAATGGGAAGTACAGAGAGCGGCAAGGCTGGCCAGAAGGTATGGAACAGCTCCCAGAGAATCATCTTGGGCTTTTCAGCACAGTAAAAATGGAGAGAAGATACGGGTCTCTGAAGTAATGGGTGGCATATAGATGTTGATCCACTGCTGCTTTGAATGCAGAAAGTCAGGGTTATCAAGTGAAACCATGAAGGTGTAAGTTCAAAGAAAGGAAAGGAGGCAGTTTTTCACAGAACAAGTAGTTAAGCTGAAAACCTCCTTGCCTCAGGAAGTTACATACCAGAACTTTCCATCAACTCCCATTAACTTACAAATTAAGAGAAGAAAAAAACATTATAGGCAAATAGGTCAGTAAATGACCTGTGGCTCAGGAAGTCCATGAAGTGCCAATTTTGATTCCACACACTCTCTACAGGACCTCATAGTCCCAATTGATTGATTATGGCTTTCTGAGATGTACTAGACTAGTGCACATGGACTCAGTGGCGGGGCAGAGGCCTAACTTTGCATTTGAGAGACTGATCCTTACTGAACGCTGAAACTATGGAATTCCACAAATCCGTCTAATGTGAAAATTCTTCAGTGTAAAACCCAGAACTTTCTGTAACCGCAAACTATTGTTTACCCACAATGTGTTCTGAACTGTTCTGATCTAAGGTCAGAAGGACAATAATACAAATTCTTACTTTCAGGGAAAAAAACCTCATCATAATGTGAAAATATAAACTAATGTCTCAAGGACCAGTGTATGGAAGTAATAAATATGAACATTTAAGGAAATATGCATCAATAGGTTTAAAATTTTTTTATTGTGCTGCCAAGAGCCAAATTACAAGAAACCGCCTTACAGTTAAAAAAGTAAACAAGCAATCTGCTGAACCGCAGTGCACTCCGAGTGCCACATATGCATCTATTTTTCAGAAAATTATATCTGCATTTCTCTTACAAGAGCACAACAGGAACCAAAGTAAAAGAGTGTAATGGATACAGCACATAGGATAAATCATATCTTTAAAATAATAATAATAAAATAATAATAATAAAAAACATTTTACACCATGTCCTATATCCTGCTAATATTTTCAGAATATGGCCGTGATTGTAAAACAAAAGCAAGCATTTACAATTTCTGGATAAAGACTGCTTACTCTTATGCAAGGAATGGATGTTTTGTCTTGACAAAATCTTTGTAGTAACTGGACAGAAACATCTCTGTTTCAATATCAGATTGAGTACAAAACACTGGGGAGACTACATTTTTTCTTATTGGTGGTTGGAAACTGAAGTTGTATAAGCAGAAAAAATGTTGACCCTTAATGATACACCTATTTTTTTTCTTTGATGCAAACAGCTAGAACACCTTTTTGATATTCTAAAACAAAAAAATTGTTAATCTTCAGATTAATAAATTAGGTCATTATAATAATAAATTAGGTTTTTTTTTTTTTCAGTTTTAAAGTTCAGCAACCTCTGACCAAGTATTTACAACAATACTTGAGAGTTCCTTTACAAAAAATACATTTTCTTTTCACATTAAGCATACTGGGTATCTGTGTCTCTTATGACAAGCATTTGTAAAAGAAAAAAGGCAATGCACAAATGGGTAATTAGTATAAAAGTGCCAAGACCTGTTTGGAAAGTTAACATTGTATTATACAGTCAGAGTTATAAATGAGGCAAGCTACAACAAACTTCCAGCTTAATGTGGACAATATTCCAGTAGTTGTTTCAAACAATTGTTTGAAAAAAAAACAAAACAAAACAAAACAAAAATGAAAGAAAGAAAAAAAAAAAAAAAAGACAATCCAGGAGCCAATGTTGTTATTCTATGGAGCTGATTAGTGCTGCATGTATATTGTCATCACTGTCTCTAGCCAATGCATTCATTAAAAAGCCTTTTTAAGGCTAAGCAGGAAAAGAAAAATAAGAAACACCCTGAAATGTAGCAAGTAGCAAGAGCAACGCTTACTGCTATAATCGTGCACGTACTGTACACACGCAAACACAAGAGTGCACACACACACACACGCGCGCACACCAACACTTTCAAATCAAATCAAACTGTAGGTAGAATGAGATGCTCTTTTCTTGTCTTTTCTAAACTCACAAGCGATTAAGCATTGATATGGAATGCCTGTTTATCTGTTTCTGCTCTGGGTAAAATCTCTCTCAGATAAAAATACATTCAACAAGAAAAAAAATAGAAAAAATATATACTGTATACATAGTATTTTATATATACAGTATATATATGTATAGTGTATATACACATGCACGTATATATACATATGTATACCTACCTGCATTTGTATATACATATATACACAAACATACAAATACTTTTTGTTGTTTTTAGCATAATTATATTTACATAAATATTCCTATAATGCTAAAGTTTAAAGAAGCATGATCTCCTTTTTTTTTTTTTTCTGAGCTTCAAAAAAGGTGCTTGAGTAATATACAATTAAAATTAAGCAGCTTCCTAGCATGGAAGTAGTTTCTAAATCTGCATACCAGTAAATAAGAACATCAACAGGAAAAAAACAACAACCTTAAAACAGTCTCTTTTTTACTCTCTTGTAAGCAAGAGCTTTGTCCAACAAAAATATTTTTCCTTCTCCTGTATGAACAACCAGAGATTGATATAAAATAACAAAACAAAACCACAACAGACAAAACAAATAAACAAAAGCCCCTGGAACTGCATGGTGTTCTTGACTTTTCCTTCCTTCCTTCAATACTGCTGTCAAAAGATCCAGTGCTCATATCAGGAATTACTTAGGCCTCAGTCATTTGCTAACTCTGCCAAAGTATGGCTAATCTAGCCAATCAGCTTTGAAGAAAACAAAAATAAAAACAAAAAGCAGCACAAGGTATAATTTTATACATCCTTAATAAACCCACCCTTTATTTTCTGCTATAACCTTTTCCTTGCTATTTCATTAACTACTGCAGCTTCTCATCATATAGAAAAATATTTGCAGCTACACCACACCTGTGATGTGACAATTTCTGTTCTAGGAGTATATTACTGTAGCAACAGCTGGAAAAAAAAAATCAGACCTTTTTATATCTTTTTTCACCTGGGGTTAGGCTTTGCTGCAACAGATGCAATTTCAGAGCAACAAGAAAAACCACTATCCTGCTGCTCGGCAGTATTCTCTATTCATTTTCTTCTGCAGCCAAGCATGACCAGCTTTTCTCCTGTGAAGCTTCCTTTTACCTCACTGCCTACCCCTAGCCCCCAATTCCCCCTCCCCCAAAACCTCTATAGCTATGTTACAAGCAAATACATCTTAACAAGTTTTAAAACTTTGGTTCTAAGAAAACACTTGGTCAGTTATCTCAAGGAAAAGTGGGAATGCTTTTTCTGGCACATTGCAGGAGTCAGAGCTCATCCCAGTAAGGTCTTAGAGCTGTACATGTAGTCACAAATCCAATACAATCCACTAAGCAAGTGCACAATTCTAGTTTTATTTTAATAGCAGACTTAGTCTCTCTCTCTCTCTCTTTCTTAAATCCTTGGTAAGGGTGCAATTCTTCAAACTGTTTGATAGAAATTATCTGCCTGTAGGTTGTTCTGTTTCTGCATGCTGTAAAATCCACTGTATCTTGAATCTGGGTCTGCAATTCTTAGCATCCTCTGAGAACTGTCCACCTGGACCATGGTACCTTTCTTGCAGTCCACATATACCAGTTGATTGTTTAGGCAAGAAGGCTGTTAAAACAGAAAGGGAATATTGAGTGAATTAAAACATTTTTGTATCCCATACGTGATTAAAAAAGTCTCTGTGGTTCAAGTCCATAAGCACTAAACAAAATCAAATTAGCAATGAAATGATTTGGACTTTTGCTAAACTTGGTAAAGGCTTATGTCAGGCACAATAACAGACCAACACTCTCTTCTGAATCAACATTTTTCATCTTCTGAATAGAGCTCTGGCATTCCTGTATCCCACATGGACTGGTTAAACCGTTTGTTAGTCCAGCACCAGAGGAGGGCTTAACCTTGTTGCCCCGGATGTGAACTCAGTTGCATCCTACACAATATTCTAGTTAATCTCGTTTTCCAAAAAAGTGAAAGCCTGGAAATAGACATAAACACGGCACCTTTGTTGGAGCTTTGTAGCAGGACACTGGAATCCACTGCTTTTTCTGATTGACGAGCAGAAGGACGATGATCAGTAACAGCGCTATTGTGATTGGAATTGTCACCAAGGCAACAGAGCTAACTGATGTGTCTTCACTTGGGTGCGGCCCACTGCCACTTCTGTACTCTCCCTGGAGATGACTCATGTCTGCAAGGCAAATATGAGCCTTTGTTAGTAATTGTAAATGGGCCTTCACCATAAAGAAGAATGTAATTGTAAAAGTCCCAGTCATGGATCTTGTCACTCATGGATTTGGACTTTCTCCTGGAATGTCACCTGATTCATATAAATGAGAACAACTGAAAGCTAGTATCTTGTCTAGTGACTATATTAGCTGGGAAAAGGCCATCAAGAAGAGGAGATAGGGTGGAATCTAAAGCACAATAACAAGCCTGACAACAATCTCTCAGCTCAGTTGTGTTCGCACCATCTCTGATCACAACCAAATTCACACCTGTAAAAAAAATCAGCCTGGTTTTCTATGCTGAGAAAAACCTGGAAGTCTTAGGATGAAAGCCCTTTTTTTTTTTTTTTTTCCTTTTTCTTTTAAAAACTGATAAGACAATTACAATGTGTTTGCTCTCTCATTTGTTGAGAACGTATTACAATACTTGCACCATTCAGCCTATAAAAACAGACTGCTGGCAGTCTACAAGACTGTAGCAAGTTTTGCATGTAATTGCAAAGAACAGTAATCTTCAACAACATATATGACATTCCCACACAGTTTGTAGTGTGTGTTTATAATCCCCAGCCAGGATAGCTGCAAGCCAGCTACTAATGCCTGTGAGAAATGAAAATGCTGTAATTATAAAAGCTTAAGCTTACGATTCTGTAAAACAGTTACATTTCATGTATCCTTTCTCCAAACAATAGTATGCTATGAAGTCATCCTTAGAATTAAAAAAAAAAAAAGAAACAAACAAACCCACAAGTTTAGGTAGTCCTTCAATTAGAAAAGGTTAACAAAGACTGTCATAGAGCATTTCCCCTACCCTAGAGTAATAATTTCAGCACAGTTTTAACCAAAAGATGGATTTACACTTATTAGCTCTGTGTCATTATACGTGAGGTGGTCTTTTAAACTCTGATATTTGTCTATGATGTAAAGTTGCAGTACATGTTTTCCCATTTTTGTTTATCAACATACGAATGTTAAATGGATCAAATGTAGGTCTATCAACTCCAGTGGCCTGACAACAGGCTACTTTCTAGTTTTGTGTCAGAAAAGACACTTCAGAATCACTCCTCATTCATCATTTTACTGTATTCTTAATTTTACAGAACTCCATCATACCAACACAGATGTTTCTTCCAGGCTGAAGACGGAATGATAATAAGACCAAAATGCATAAATGTAATTTAACAGTCTGACTCATCTTTACTCAAAGCAAAATGCATGTAAGAGTTGTGCACTGAAAAATATTCTCGGATAACCACTTTTCAAAGCATTGTACAGATGCTAACTGAATAGAACAAGTAGATACATTGAAACACAGGGAATAAACAGAGACCTAAATTAGCCCAGTTTATATCTCATCTTACCTCTGTGAATGTGGATGATGTCATTTTCACTCGGTGTTGGCCAGTTTGGTACTTCTAGTTCAATGTCTCCTCGATGATTTGTCTTCTCAATGGGGATGTTAGTAGGTTCAGGTACATACATCTCTGCGAAATAAGATAAATGTATTTCACAAATTACAGGTTGCTTAACTCGTCAGTGCTGCTCTTAACTCAGGAAATATACTTGGCCATCTGCAGTGCTTTGTCCTAGGAATCCTTGCATTTGTTTCAGAATTTTCACTATTAGTGGTTTGGGATTTTGTTTTAAAACCAGTTTCATACTGTATACAGGAAACATGCCTGCTGCCATTATCATTATCCTAATGTGAGTGGGATGACATAGTCGTGTGGATAAATTTGCTTTTGAAAACACCATTTCAGAATACACACTTCACTACAGTCTTGCTCCTTTGTGATATTAGACAACAAAAATACCAAGGGCAGACTACATCTTCCCAGTATGTAAACTGTCACTGCTGGTTTCTTTGCTGTCCTTTTTATTTTGTAATCCTCAAAGCAGGAGAATTGCAAAAGCGGGTACTGCTGAATCTCCCCAGTTGTTCTGCTGGAAGTAGATACCAGCTGACTGAGTAAGATGAGCAAACTCCTGCAAAGTATGACAGGGCTAGCATTAAAAACCAGTTGCAATTCTTATGTTCCTTGTGTCAATAGCTAAGAAAATTTCATGTTACTTTTAAGACAAGTTAAAATGATAAATAAAGCAATGCGATATTTGAAAAGTAATGGAGAGACTCAGAAAAGACAGAAATGTTAATCACTGACAGAAACTGCAAAGATGTAAGAACATTAATTTTCCTACTTCACTAATGTATTTCCATAACCTTGTGAAAGGACAGAGCAGGAGCAAGCAACTCATTTTTGAGTTCACAGCTCTCAGAATAAGAAAACTTCCAATTACATATTTGCATGATATATCTATCAGTTAGGAATATTCATTTTCCTGAAGACTAAATGTCTGATGTCTTCTTGATACTGTTCAAACATGGACCGACATTCAAAAACCAATTAAAGAACCTTATTACCAGACCTGGACAACCAGAATTACAATAATCTGGGCTGTCACATCCCGTTACCTGGACACATGGGACAGCAGCTTCCCTCCACGTTGATGGGTTCGGCACAGGGGAGCGGTGGGCAGCTGACAGTGGAGCAGAGAGTCTGACCCTGCAGGCAGTAGCAGTGTGTGCAGCTGTCTATGTCCCAGCGTTCCTCATCTGCATATGTTTTTCCACTGAAGTGGCAGACCACCTTCTTTGGAACTGTATCTTCTGTTGAAGGAAAACAGTGGTGTGATCATACGGTAATGGCCAATTACACAAAAATCAGATTTCTTCCCCGAACACAAAAGTGAAACAATAGCTACAAAGAATCCCAGCTGTAATTAAAAGTCTCTCTCAACCTCTTCTGGAAAATCTTTGTTAAAAAAAAGTGTAATTTCTGCTACTTTATGAAGTACATTATTAGCCTGGGCTGCTTCTCCTCATTTTCCTCATGTAGAATGCTAGAGTATGGATAATTGGGACATGAAATGATATCAGAGGTGCTGTGAAAATGAAGAAAAAAATATTTTTTTATGTTTGACTGTTTGAGACTGCTGACTACTCCTCCTCGTTTCCTAGTAAATGCTAATTAACTAAGAAAAAACCCAAAGTACCTACATTTCTAATTTCCAAGGTTCAAGAAAGATGAACTCAGCCTGGAATACTTGAAGAAAATATTAGGCAGGGTGCCAAGAAGGATGAAGCAACTCTCAGGTGACATAACTAGAAGTGCTCAGACTATTTATTACAATAAAACAGACTCAGAGGGATTCTGATTGTTCCCTGTAACTGCATCAACAGAAAACCCCAGGAAAAGAGCAATAATCAAACTCAGCACATTTTTTTCATGGTTACTATTATATAAATGGGAAACTAGTGTGATCTTAACACTTGGAAAAAAGTGAGGTTCCAGAACACCCTTTCCAAAGATTAAGAGATGTAAAAGTAACAACTTCTCAGGCAGATTTTGACACAGTACGTAAAAGGGACTGGGACTTGATGAAGCAAGTAGTCTTGGGAAAACACCTAAAGGAAGCATTAAACTTTCTGCCTAAGAATTCAATACACCATTTTTTTTTTAATGCTGCATCCCATGCAAGCCTTTTAGGTGGTCTGCAGCATACCTTCCATTTCACTGAGAAGACAGCCATAAATTGCTTAGCCTAGGATGTTTTTGAAGCTATATCATTTCACAGATAATCGAAATAAAACTACACAGCAGAACCTACAAAAGCCAAGCAGCACCTTGTTTTCATCCTAGCTTCTCACTACCTTTTTTTCTTAGAGGCAAAAATTATTATAATGAAACCTGCTGATGACATGAATTTGTAGATTAAGCGTATGCATGAGATAATAGAATGAAACTGCAAAGTAACTTCCTAAGGTGTCAGAGAAATACTGGTTTAACATTCACACAGATTACATATGTAAATATGTCAGAACTATCTCCCAAATACAATCAAAAAGCCTTATTAAATAATTTGGCCATCAGTACAGCTTTTAATTAGTGACAACATAATAGACTGGCATCACCTGGAATAACAGGGTCAGTAGCCCATTTACAACAGATCTAGACCAAGTAAATTTAAAAGCAAAGGAGACCAGCAAGAAGTACTGTTGTGAAAATACTAATGGGATTATCCAAAAAGCGCAAATGTTCCAGAGGTCCTTGGTATGGGTATTCCATGACTTCCATGGCTGTAACTACGGGTCCCAACATCTCAAAGTAGAAGATTTTGTGAGTGAGTATGGGGTGGACGTGGAAAAGGAGGAGTAGGAGGAAAAGGTGGCTGCAAGCTGCAAAAAGCATGTTAGGTTCTTCCACAGACGACGTGCATGTTGGCACACAGAGCCAGGGGAGCCCTGTGCTGGTCAGAAAGTAGATGTCTGGGGAGAAGGTGAGGCACAGAGCCCAAGCAGCCCTTTGCTGCTTACCTGTGCAGACCTAAAGCTGTGCACTCTCCGTGCACTCAAGGCTGATTTGCTCCCAAAGTGCTACCTTGCCCCACTCAGGACAGCTTCTTCAACTTGGCAGCTGGTTTGGCTGGAAAAGTCCTTTAACTTGCTCAGGCTTTTGCAAGTTTGTAAAGAATATATAATGATTTAATACAGTAATTTTTTTTTAGAAGAATGAACAAAGGTAAATTCACAATAGCAGTGTTGCACCTTTGAACCTCGAGAGGAAGCTTTCAAGTTCTAAGAAAGTATTATCCTGTGTGTGTCTCCCGTTTTGGTGTCCATCTCTATGCAGGTCTAAGCACAGGATGAAGTTCAAGGCCATAACACCAACAAGTGCTCAAGGACAGTGGAAACAAGAGAGACTTGCAGTAAGAAACCAACATAGAAAAATGCAGTTCAGAATATCGCGTCTAGCTCTACCTGCCCTCTCTCAGATTTCCTCTAGGTGCACCACTAAATCAAGCTCATGTGGTAAACAAACAAACAAACAAAAAAACAATTGTTGCTCTGCTTTCTACAGAAGACTAATTTTGTCTCTAATCAAATAGCTATCCCTTTATCCCCTCTAAAGTAGAAGGTTATCTTTCCAAATTAATCTTTCCATAAGAAAGTTGACTGTTGAACACACAGGATGAATTTGAGGATTCAGACAAACAACAAAGCAGCCAAGGCCTGTAAAATTTTGAATTTGAATCTATTCTAGTTTGTTATCCATTAACCTGGGTCCAGAAAACAGCAGAATAAAATACAGTGCTAAAACCCTGCATAATATTTGAAATTCTAATAAATGAAGAAGGCCTGTTTCCACAGAGTTTACCTTTTAAATATTTTATCAACTATTACATGAAAATAGTAAGGAAGAATCTGTACAAAGATCTGCTTCACCATTCTCAAGAAATTAAGAGTAAACCAGTAAGAACTGGGAAGACAAAATTTAAGTGCGTGACCTTACTCCTCTTACAGGCAAGAGTATATGGTTCATAGAAACCATAAAAAAATTAAGTTTCCATGGATTTCAGTTATTTAGAATACCAAATATTCTGAAAACATAGTACAACTTGGATTAATAAAACGTATCATCATTTAAAGTCTTCATATCTGAGCACTGATTAAAATCTAGCTTTTGTATTTCGTATTGCTGAGCAGTTACTACTAAAAAAAAATCATTACACTTCTGCAGCTCACACATTTAAGTATTTGCAATATTATGCAACTATATGGGATTCAAATTAAATTAATTAAAGCCATATCTACAAGTTGTGTGTATATATTTGCAAACCTGACATGCAAGTTCTAGAGGTTTTATTTTTGTAGTTCATGGCACTAGTCCCTGTGGTGCATCCCTTCCTTGACCTAAAGAATTTTCCATTACAGTTCTAAGGCTTATATTCTGACTCTACTGGTTTGATTGCCCAACTTTGGATACACTCTGTATTTTTTTTTTTTTTTAATGTTAAAATGTATTCTGGATTAAAATTATCTTTATGGTTGCAAAGTCAATCACTGGAAGAAAAGCCTGCAGAAAGACAGTTGTCAAACTTAAATCCTCCCCTTTTTGTATGTGAACCATAATGAATAAGTACTAATAGGATAACATAGTACTTTCCCCTCAAAATGTCCTCATTAAAAATCTAAGTAGGGTTCCAAGGGCAACTGAAATTTTGATACATTCTAACTTTTCTAGGCTTTTCTTTGATGGAATTCCTTGCATATCCTATAAAACCATATCACCTATTATTAAAGATATTTTGTCTGCAACGAATTAAAGATTTCACGAGCTATATCAATGGTACGTACCTGAAAGGACTTCACAACCTTTCCGACATCTTTCTGATGAAGAACTGTATTGTTTATAGATGGGCATATTGATTCCTATGTTCAATTAACAATACTTAAAGCCCGTCAATTTTATTATGTTCCTTTTCACTGATTTCTACTGTATCTCCTCCTACTACTTTTGGAAATGAAGGTTACAGTAAGCTCTGAATGCTTTCCAACAAGGCTAAAAAGTCTTAACTTCAGTAAGTGTATTATACAATTCTTCTCTATCAGCAGCTTCCACTCTACAGCTTTTGTACTTACTGTGAACTCACAAAAAAGTAATCTGTAAATAAATACTCCTATTCAAAATACAATGAAAAAGTGATCAGTAATCTCAAAGTCTGCATCTTTAAAAACGCCTAGCAATTTTTATTATCTACAGCATCGACCATTAACTTAAAATTCAAAACCAGTGCATGACCCTTAATTCTTTATGCATTTTTAGTATTAAAAAAAAATAATTTTCCCTATTTTTTTCTCAAATATATTATTTTGCCTCTTCTTTAACTATCTTTAATGAACTTCCTGTTTTCTTCCCTGTTTTAATTTAGATGCCTTATTAACAGTTCTCCATTCTGTGAAATTTCACAGTGCTTCACCTTATCTGCAGCAGTCACAATTAGTATTTCCTCATATTATCACATAAATCTTGACATAACATGTGTTACCTGGAAGATCTTCCTTTAAATAAAACAATTTTAGTGCAACGTTTCCATCTAGTAAGGTTTATTACCAAGTTTTCGTGAGGATGTCCTCTCAAGTTTGTAGGCAAATTACATTTATAACTTCATGCATTTCTACCTAAAAACCACAGATCATGATCCTCAAAGCTCCCTATGCAGATTTCACTGTCCAGTTCAACTGAAGGCATAAACTGCATCTCTCCAAATCAGGGAAAACATTTCAATTTGGAAAAAAACCTTTTTTCTTATTGCCAAGAAGAGAACAGCAAGTTATCAACTACTTTTATTTGCTCACCAATACAGTAAGGACAACATTGTCCCTTTCTCAGAACAGGTCTCTCACAGGATACCGGTGGGCAAGACTCAGAGTAGCATCTAATCACACCATCCATGCAAATGCAGCTAGTGCAGACATTGGGCTTCCAGGACTCCGCTGTCAGAAAAATATCTCCTTCATCATTTTTGCAATAACTGGGCATGCTCTCATTGCTTGAAGAGGGCTGAAGAGGCTCATCTGTAAATATAAACAGATTAAGTTATTTAACTTAAAGTAGATAACTTCTCTCATATTTCCTCAACAGAGGGTTCACACTTGAAGAACACAATGGTACTGTCACACAGCGGATCACCACTTCAGAAAATCTAGGATGACAGAGCCTTATGCCTCTTCAGTGCTTACATGTGATGAGGATTTCATGATGCACTCTAGCATCAAATTTATGCAGACCTTCACTGTCTTTTTTCAAAAAAAAAAAAAGAAAAGAAAAGAAATAAAAGGACATCAAAGTTAAAAACAATCACCATCAGAAGCAGCCCCTCTGAAAGCCACTCTGAATGCTCCGAACTGAGTGGTATATAGGAATTCACCTTAAATTAGAGAGATTAGATTTTAACTCCAAAACTTGAATCCCAGCTTCTGCCATGTCAGTTCAAATCCTTGAATGATGTAAATTGAAAAGCTATTATGCTGTTGTCACCTTCGCTAGTGGACTTACATGAGCTAGTTATAAACTGCTGAGAAACAAATGGAACTTAATCTTCAGCTCGATGCAAATGGGTCTGCTTTAATTCTCATGCCCACACATGGGGGGAGACATATTTCTGCAATGAAGCTGTATCTTAACAGACATTATGGATCAAGAAATATGACTGTAAGTGCAGAAAACATATAAGAAAAGGAGAAGAAAAGAATTCATAAGGGCACTCAGATCAGGTTCTCAATCTAACTGCATAAGTTATGAGACTAAGCTCCTTATATAGCTAGTGAGGAAAGATCAGCTCCTCCAAACAGTATTTTGAAGCTAAGTTCAGTGTTATTAATAATGAGAAAAATGGAAGTCTGGAGAACTGGCTAACTTACTGAAAATATTTTGTCAGAAAAAAAACACCCAAAAATCTAACAAAAACCCTGTGGAAGAAATGGCAAAACCTAGCTTTTTTTTTTTTTTTTTTTTTTTCTAAAGTAAAATTTTTAGATTTTGTTTTTAATAGAAGCAATTATTTTCTCAGTGAGTTTACATACAACTCACAGGTTTGGGCTGAATTTCCACTGCAACAAACTCCCTCATTTACTATGTAAAATAGGACTTCAGGTTCATTTATAATTGCATCTTTTTCCTCAGGGGAAAGCAAATCCTGTTACCTTCTTGACATGGTGAAGCAGTCTAGGAGGAATCTGGCACACCTGCTGGTCTGGAATGCTTTGATATTACTCAGTTGCCTTCAAGTCATTCTAAATCATACCAGGTGAAGGCAAAAGCAAAGAGAAGTATTTCTGAGACCAAATCCCAAACAGACAAGATAGCAATAAAAAGGTTTATAGAAACCATGGCATGTAGAAAGGAAAAGAAACAAGCCTGTATCTGCCTAGGACTTTCACTACTTTGGAAGTTCCTCTGATCCTGCATGTTTCCATAAACAACCCATTGCATATTTCATAAACTTTCCAACTAGGGATTCTGGTTCCCATGCAAGCCTCACATTCTTAGATTGCCTTCAAGGATGTTCAGACTTCAGGGCCACCACTCCCTTTAACATACAAGATATCTCTTGCACACAGTCAAGTTTTGCAGTTGAAATAGGGGACTGCAGGCTGTCACTCCAAACTGCTAAAGAACAAAGGCACCACAACAACCAACTGTGCACACACTGAAACATTTAATATTCACATCATACATTCTCAGATCAAGAAGGGACTCTAACGAAGGCTGGTTGTCAATATATACCTGGGCACTGTGGGCAGCAGGAGTCCTGTGTGCGGGTGGGGTTTTGGCAAAGAAGAGGTGGACAGACTTCAGTCTCACACAGGACACGTCCACTGTGGCATGTACATTGTGTGCAAGAATCAATATTCCATGTCTCTCCTTCTACAAAGTATTCCCCACCAGGAGCATGACAGATCGACGGACTGGTGAGCTCTGGCTTCTGCACAATTATTTCATCTGGGATAAACAGAATTGGAAGACAGGCAAAAATCAGCTGTGACTTTAACAAATGTACCCGAGATTAATAATTTCTGTTTTTACTGAAAATACTAGGAATAATAAAACCAGCTATCAATATATTCTTAATTAAGCTCTTTCAACTTATGTCACTTGGATTTATTTCACCAGCATCTCACTGAAAATGGGAAAAATATAAACAAGACAAAATTTGAGAATCAGTCTGAATAAATGCCAGTTAATATAAAACAGAGGTAACTTCAAGCATTCTTGGCATTTCTGAAAAAAATCAAACCAATCTGTGATGTAGACATTCCAAGAGACAACTGTAATTTTCTGAAAAATTACAGTGATCGGACAGTTTCTTAATTGCTAAATACTAGCACCAATGCAATTCCTGAAAGGATGGATGAGTATGCTTCTTCTCTAGGATTTAGGAAGTCCAGATTCAACTGTCTGCCTTTAAGTTTCCTCAAGAATCCCCAACCCAAACCCCTAAAAACATATAAGCACTTAACACCAGTGGAAGTGCTTCAACAATTCGTTCCATATATATATGTATAAAAATAAATATATATATATATAAATAAATAAAAAAATAAACAAACAAATGTTTGCAGTCTTTGAAGTAGAAAATACATCCAAGGAGATGTCACAGCACGTAGACCATATTTCCAGTGAATGCATCTCACCAAATGAACCTTAATTCCTTTTCAAACAATTAATTACATTACCTCTAAGCCCTGACTAATAGACTCACTCCGTCTCTAACCCAGGCAGTTTAGGGAATAGATTTGATCTCCTTCAAGTTAAGAAAGGAACTGGAACAGTTTTCCTTGTTCAGCACGAATGTCCTCCAGCCACTGGGGTATTAAAAAAATGGGGGAACTCTTTTTACTTCTTGGCGTTTTAAAAGAAAAAAAGAAATCTGCCCTGCACTTTGAAAGTGTTTAAGCACCTACCATCAGGAAAAGGTTATGCCATGAACTGCATCCCCACAGCCCGCTTAAAATGCTTTGAAGCCCACACCCACGTAAGGGCAGCAAGGGCAGTAATGGTTACCACCTTACCATGCTGGCTGAATTGGACCTGGAGTGAGTCCACCAGTTTTTTCCATGTACTGTGTATAGAAATCGAGATGCCTCACACAGCATTTTTTATTCAACAACAGGAGCTTTGCGTTTAAAAGTTACATGCTGCAACATGAAGCTTCAGGCTTGTAAGTGATGTTGTCCTTAAGCCTGAATTCAACCCATCTAACATTAGACAACAAGTTAAGTGCCTACGTCAAGAACTGAGCTACCTCAGTTTTCCTGTGCTATGAATGGAGGGAATGAGAAAGTGACTCCGCATCTCTAAACCGCTTTCTGAAGGGTGTCCTCTCTCCTATTTAATTATAAAGATGTCTAATATGAACATCATCCTAAATATCTTGGTTAAGGACAGAAATATTAAATGGATAGCAGCTCCTCTAGTCATTTAGGCAGCCCAAGGCTCACAAAGGGCACGTGCTTCTCTCCACATCTGTAGCACCGCTCTGTCTGGACAACGGCATTTGTGCGCTTTGCTCCGTGACATTGCCATGTAGAAGATACACCATTCAATTATTGTTTTCCCTTCTGGAGAATGATCAGCAGAACTCAAGGAGCCTGACTTTGGCCAATCTTAGTCTGTTCACAAAGTACTCTTGCATTTTATCTTTCACTGATTCGCTTATGCTATGCTTTTCCTATTGCTTGTATTTATGAACCACATATGTGATTCAGTAGCGTTTACCTGAAGTGAGTAGCTGGTCTGCTGCCTTGTCCTTGTCTGTTTTTACCTCAGCTGCCACAATATATTACATTTTCTGCAATGACATCCTAATTCACCATGGCAAAGGCAATACTAATTATTTTCTGGAAATTTTCTCAGTCATCTCCTTTGCATTTAGCTGTCTTCAAAGTCACAGGCCTGTTTTACTACAGCTCATATACTGCTTTGTCTTAGTTTGGGCTGAAATAGAGTTAATATTCCTTTTCAGGGACTAGATGAGTGCTGTGTTTTGGATTTAGCTTTGGGTTTGGTATAGGAAGAATGCTGATAGCACACTGATGTTTTCAGCTGCTGCCGAGACTTCAAGGACTCTCCGACTCCCCGTGTCCTGCCCGTGCGCAAGGGCACAGGGAGCAGGGGGGGAGCACGGCC